TCTGCTGTGCCATGTGGGTTGCTCCCCGGCCGGCCGGGGATTGAACTCGTGCTGCAGAGGCTTCGGATTGCTTCATAGTGCGGTGCTTAACCCATTGCACCACCAGGGAGGCCCTATTTTCTCTTTTTTTAAAGATTTATTTGTGCATACCAGAGCTGGGATGTAGGGCAGAGGTGTGGCAGCAGGTGAGAGTATTTACCAGAGACAGAGTGGGAGCAGAACAGGCAGACTGACTGAAATACACTGCTGAGGGGAGCACAGTCGAGACAGGAGAGGTCTGCTGTGCCATGTGGGTGAGCTCCCTGACCAGGATTGAACTTGTGCTGCAGTGGCTGCAGAGCACTTCACAGTGCTGAGACTTAACTCCTTGCACAACCAGGGAGGCCCAGAATTTATACTATTTTCTATAAAATGCTCCCCACTAAAAAAAAATTGAAACAAAAACCAGGAACTTCATTCAGTTAGCACAGGAGGCTCACCACAGTTTCCACTTAATACTGTTGGGAAAATTTTGTGCTTCATTGGAAAATAATGCATTTTTTAGACAAACACCACCCTTCCAATTCTGACGTTCCTTGCCTTTGAGCTATTTCATAACTTTGCAAGTTGTGGAAATCTGATGGTAATGCAGAATAATTCTTGTCTCTAGACACATACATAAATTCTGTCCAGTGGAGGTTTAACTGTTTTCCTTTGCTCACTGGGGAAGAAGCCAGTTTTGTCTCCATTTGCACAAGCTTCTCAATATTCCGGTTGTATAAATGTTTCTGTTCTTTTGTCGTCTGAACTAATTGTACCATCTTACTGGTTCCCTCATTGATACTATGTTAAATAAAATACTGAACATGTGCTCATGTTATCTTAGGTATGGTCAAGATTTTACCATTGAAAAAACTACCTTTCAACAATTTTTTATTCAGCCAGATTATAACGCTATCTAGCTTGCCTCCATGTTAGTTGTTGTTTTAAAGTATCTTCAATTTTTTTGTATACCAAATGTAATATTTCAAGTCCTCACTGTAGTCATGTCAACAATAAAAAAATATCCAAAATAAACATTGAAAGTTCCCTTCTTTTGGAAAATTGCTCTGGGCAATTTGCTGCAGAGTCAAGCAGGTCCTTTTCTGTGCTTGCTCTATGATACATCTTGAAATGTTTTTATGTGCACATATCTTTAAACAAACAATGGCACCTATCATGGCATTCTGCAATCTACTTTTATTCTGACTTAATACATGCAGTATGTGTCCATTTGCCTTTTCTTTTCTTTTTTTTTTTTTTTTGTGGGACCCTCGTCTGGCGGCCGGGGAACGAACCGGCGCTGCAGAGGCTGCGGGCAGCCTCACAGCCCAGAGCTCAACCACTGCGCCACCAGGGGAGGCCCTGTCCATTTGCCTTTTCTAACAGCCTCACCGCAGCCTATAGCTTGAGTGGCTTGTTTTTTTCCCCAAACAATCCCTAACTAATGCAAATTTAATTGTTTTATTTTTCTTTAGTACACACAGTCTTACACTGTATGTCTTGGAACATTCATCTGAATGTATTTATGCTTTTTGTAAATTCAGTCCCTCCATAGCTCCATAAATATTGTCAAACCTATAGTTTTTAATTCCCAAAGATACTGTTTCAGGGCCTAGTTAGGTTAGCTATCCTAAGCAAGTTTCCTCCACTTTTGTGTACATTGGTTTCCTGGTACTTAAAGATGCTAATAAAAAACAAGCACTGAAAGTGAAATAAATGGAGCTAAGATGATTAATACAATTTAAACAGGCAAGCTGACTTTATGTGAAAAAATAAAAAGTCAAGATTAAAACAAAGATTCTGCTTAATTATTTTGAAATGGGGCCCACTAACTAGTGTTAATATGATAGTAGGAAAAGTATGGCTTGGATTTATCATCATGACTATAAAATATCAATTTGGGGTGATTTTAATGATAGGAAATAACATTTTACTGTGTTAAGACAAACCAGGGTTTAATATATATATATAATTTTCATAATATGTTTTGCTAGATATTATGTCCAATATCTACAGATATTAAATGATCTACTACATAAACAGTACACGGAAAAGTCTCTGACACATGGTAACTCACAGATGTGTTGACTTTTTGCAATGGGGTTGTAGGGTAAGGTAAAAGTTTCAGGCTTTTCTGCCCTCCCGCCATTAGGATAGATGACGGAACCCTATGGTCCTGAAGGCATGCCTGATGGCGGGCACCTGGAATAGGCTTTGGGCATATGTAGGGATTCACCTGGGCTAAGACTGGGCTTATAAGGGCAGTGTCATGGAAACAGACACTGAAACAGAACCACAAGAAACAGAACCAAGAGAAGCAGAACCACGAGAGGAGCAGAGAACAAGGCCATGAGAGAAGGCCAGAGAGCCCAGATAGAGTGAAGACTTGCTGGGGGCTGGGAGGCCTGCCAGCATCCCGGCCCCCCAGCACCCCTGCCTGCTGTGTATCTGGTAAATCCCAATAAAAGCCTATAAAAGCAACTGAGGGCTCCATGACTCTCTCCTTCTTTACCTGGTCTGCTGGATCAGAAAACCTGCCCCGTGCCCATTCCTGCCCCCTTACAGGGGTATATTTTAATAGTTAAGTGTATGACTCTCAAGCTACCCCTGGGTTCACATTTTTACTTCATTACTTGTGGCTGTGTGCCCCTGGAGTAAAAGGCAAATTAGCTTTCTATTCCTCAATCTCCAATCCTTTTGTAAGATTTAATGAGTAAATATATGTAAAGTGCTTTGAACAGTGCAATTAAGGCTTTTACTATGCTATGCTAGGGAAGTAAAGTTGTCAAGACAAAAATCCTTGTCCTCAATCAAGTAGTTTACTGAACACAGATGAAAATAATAAGGATCTAAAATTTAGTGTAACTAGGTAGTGTTAACAGAATGCAGTGGAAGCATTTTAGGCCCTAGTTTTGAAGAGTATGTTTCCTAGAAGCAGAAATGGCTAAACTAACACTTGAAAAAACAGAGTGGAGAAAAAGTACCTTTTAGATGGGCATGGAAAGTCAATCTTTTATAGGCACATTTGGGAACTGCAAAGAGTTTGCTAGGGTTGCATGCACGATGTGGGGGAGTAAATGAACACAATGTTAAACTAATAGGTGATATAAAATTTCTGTTTAGACTTTATCGTGAGGCCAGAGGGTAGACATTGAAAGGTTTTTATAAAAAGAAATGCCATTTTGGATTAGGTTATTTAAAATGTTCAATTTGATCAATAGGCCAATAAGGTACTACATTTGGATATTTAGAATGTGGAATAGATAGAACTGGCTGATTGGTTGCCTTAGAAGGTGGTGTGGTATATAACTAAGGGTGTTGCTTTTGTGACCCATATCAATGGGCTATACATCTACGCTCTTCTGCTTGCTGTCTGACCTTAGGTGAATCACTCCAATTCTCTGAATGCCAGGCTCTACAGTTGTAAGACAGGCTTAGTGCTATCTAACTGTACTTTGCAGGCTTAAGGCAGGAATTAAATGATGTAATGAATACAAAATGCATAACACCATGTGTTTAATGTTGGTGTTAGATCAGTAAACATACAAAGTAACAGACTATTTCTCAAAAGAAAAACTAAGTAAGTACTGGGATTAAGTGTCTTTGCACAAGACAAATTCTGTGGTTCTATCCAAAATTGTTTCCATAATTTTGTTGTGAGAAAATAATATTCCATAAATAAATATAGTGATAATAGGTAGGCCATAAAGACACAATCCAAGATAACTCAGATTGGAAAGTGTAAGGGCCGGACTGGCCACAGTGCAGGTTTTCTGATCCCATGCAGACCGGGTAAAGGAGGAGTCAGAGTCCTTAGTGGGTTTTTTGCAGGTCTTTTATTGGGGTTCACCAGGCATATGGCAGGCAGGGGTGCTGGCTGGGGGGCTGGGAGGCTGGCAGGTCTCCCAGCCCCCAGCAAGTCTTCACTCTATCTGGACTCTCTGGCGTTCGTTCTGCTGCTTCTAGGCTTCTGCTTCGGCTTCTGCTGCTGCTCCCGCTGCTGTTGCTGGCGTCCCCACCGTGAAGCCGCCCTTAAAAAGCACAGTCTTAGCTCAGCTGAATCCCATCTACCTATGCCCACACCCTACTCCAAGTGCCTGCCATCAGGCATGCATTCAGGACAAGGATCCATCATCTATCCTGATGACAGAAGGGCAGAAAAGCCTGACATTTTCTTTACCCTACAGAAAGACATCAGAAATTGAGAAAAGGAAACACAAAAAATATTGAGGCGGGAAAACAATCTTCTGACGAAACTTCGAATGTATTTACGAGGAAAATCTGAGCCAGCCAGCACCTGCCTGAAATTATCCTAAGGTGTGCTTCTGGCCTGTCTGCTTAAAATAAAACTGAGGAAGGACTCGGAAGAGGGAAGAACACCAGGTCCACTTTGTAAGTTGAGGTTTGCCAACCTCAGAGACTCTGTATTTTATTAGTTCAAATATCTACCGTCGAGTCTTTAACTCAGTTCAAAAGGTGGAAAATAAAAGCCTAAGCCTGGCGCAGCCAGACAGGAAGGCCCCTGGATCCTCCGTTGCTAGGGCAACCGACTCTGCGCCAGCCCTGAAGAGAGGGAGCCCCAAAGCTCGGGGACCCGGAAGGCTGCTCGCCCTCGGCATACACGGTGTGTTTGTGTGTTCTTTTCTACTGTTAGGACTAGGCAGTCACAACGATCCGCGGGCATGCTAGAATCGTCACCTCAGTTTCTCAGCTGAGGACCCAATGATGGGGTTGTCCTCCCGCAAGCCGCCCCCCGCCCCGGCGACGCAGCATCACAGACGCCGCAGAGACTCCCCTTCCCGCAGCCTAACTCGGCCCGGAAGAGCCCCGCCCACCTGGGGGTGGGACCAATGCTTCTCGCGATCGTTGCGGGCCCCGCCTTTCCGGCCGCGAGCTGTCAGCTGCACGGTGATTGGTCCATTTCCAGGGCCGGCTGCGCGACTTTCCTTCCGGGTCCCGGGCGTGCACGTGCGGCGAGGCCGGCAGACGCGGCCGGGAGCTGGGCCGGGGGTCGCCCGGGACGTGGCTTGTCGCGTCCTTGGGACTCGGCGTGCAGGCGCCGCTTCTCTTTGGGGTGAGCGCCGCGCGGCTGCAGCATGGTGAGCCGGCCCTGTTGTCTCGGGGGCGGGGCGCCCTGGGTCTGCCCAGGCCAGACTGGTGCCCCTAATGCCTGTGGGTACTGCGGCCTGGACGGGGGGGCTCGGCTGTGGGTCCCCCTCACCACCGCGGCCGTAATTTTCCAGTTAGAGTGAGTCTTCCATGGCCAAAACGCCCCCAATAAAGGACAGGTGAGGGCCTCCCTGGTGGCGCAAGGGGGTAAGCACCGTGCTGTGAAGCAATCCGCAGCCTCTGTAGCACGAGTTCGAGCCCCGGCCAGCCAGGGAGTAACCCACATGGTGCGGCAGACCTCTCCTGACTCGCCAGCTGCTCCCCTCAGCAGTGTATTTGGGTCTGTCTTTTCTGTTCCCCAATCTGTCTCTGGTGAGTTCTCTAACCCCCCCATCTCTGGCCTGTACCCCAGCTCTTGTATGCATAGATAAATAAATCTTTAAGGAAAAAAAAGGACAGGTGACCCGAGTAGCCTAAAAACCCGTGACGGAGGACCAGCCGCGCCACCCAGCCCTTCCTGAAGTCGGATGGAGAGAGAGTTGGCTGCTCTCCCCAGGAATTAACAGGTGTCAGCTCATCTGTTTACTCTGGGGAAAGGACCTTGCCAGAGAGTGTAAGGTTGGGCCCAAAGCAAGCCCTCTTGCTCAACTGAGATGATGCTTTCTCAGTTTGGAAAGTTAAGATTGAGCTGGGGAGTAAGAATCTGAAAGGAAGATGACTCTTACAACCTTTAGTTGTGGTTGTCTCCTGTCTTGTAATAGTTGGTATATGGTATGTACCCTGTTTGGAATTGTCTGCCCCACCTTTTCTTGTGGTAGACTCCTTCCCATTCTGGTTCAGGCTGTCAGGAACCCTCTCCCAGCAACCCAATCTAAAGCAACTCATGGAAAAATAAAATAACTCATCGACCTTGTTTGCACTCACTGTGTTTAATTTTTTCTTTACCTGAAATCATTTTGCTGATGATTTGTTTACTAAAAATAGGAACTTTGAGGTTACCGTACCTGTATTTTCATTACCCATAATAAGGTAATGAAATGTTTATTGGAGAAGGATAACTACCTTGAGTAGAATATTGTTGCTGTTGCCTGCCCTAGAAGTGTAGGTTTTAAAAATTGGTTGAGCCATCATATAACTTACTGAGGATGCCTACTCCCTCTTGTTTTCTGCATTAATGGCTTGTTCTGATTCTGTTCCTTTGAAGCCTCACAGAAAGAAAAAGCCCTTTATAGAGAAGAAGAAAGCTGTGTCCTTTCATCTGGTCCACCGGAGTCAACGGGATCCTTTAGCGGCAGACGAGACTGCACCCCAAAGGGTTCTGTTGCCTACACAAAAAGTAGGTCTTGTTTTAACCAATAGGTTTGTAAGTAGACTTTTTAATAAATAAGGCCGCTCCCTGCTATTCTCAGATAACTGACCTTATGGGAAACAAATTGTTGATTTTTGCATCATGCGTGTTTATTTTGATAGAGAGGATATGCAGATTTGGGGGGGGATAAATTTAAATGAGCAAATCTTATAAAATAAAGGTAAACTCTTAATGTTATTAACTATCAACTACAGTGCTGCATGATGTATTTGGCACAGCCAGATACCCAAACTCTGTTTTCCTTAAGATCTTGCCATTGCTCAACCACAAACTGCAGTTTGCCGCCTACTCATCTCATGAAACAGAAACCATTGGAACTCATGAGTTAGCTTTAGAAAATGCAAGATGAACCTTTAAAAGGTTCATTTGTTAATTATCAGGATAAACTTGTTAAGTGTTAATTACTAGGATAAACTAAGGAAATGTTGGGGGCCATCAGCCATGTTTACTTTTTCAGTAAAGCCAGTTTGTCTTGTATATTGAGAAGTTTCTTTGCACATAAATACAATAATCTACTTTCAAGGCCCCTTAGTCTTGTTTCTAACCCTCCAAGTTTGTGTTAAAACAGTATGTGTTTGTGTCTTGAATATTTGCAAAGAAATAATGAAAGGAGACACTCTTCAGTCCATTTTAATTTAGGTGCGCTCTCGATTAGTCTGTTTTCTGAATTTTTAAGAATTTTGTGTGTCTTTCCTATCAGCAAAAATGTTCATGTACACTCTGCCACCTATCTGAAATCTGTCTTTATTGGAGGATTCCTCTGCCTTACCTTGCAAGGGGTACTAATTCCACTATGTTATGATCCTAGGTAAATGATGAAGAAAGGCGAGCGGAACAGAGAAAGTACGGAGTGTTCTTTGATGATGATTATGACTACCTGCAGCACCTGCGGGAACCATCTGGGCCTTCAGAGCTTATTCCCACAAGTACCTTCAGTGCATCCAACAAGAGAGATGAAAAAGAAGAAACTTTAATAATTCCAGTAAGACTTTTTAGCAACTTAATTGTGAGGGAAAGTATGTAGGAATGAGTAACCTTTTTTTTTTTTTTTTTTTTTTTTTTTTTGGTGGGACCCTCGCTGGTGGCCAGGGATTGAACTGGCGCAGCAGAGGCTGCGGGCAGCCTCGCAACTCAGCGCTCAACCGCTGCGCCACCAGGGAAGGCCCAGTCAAGTAACCATTTTTAAGACAACATAACTGTTTAGGGCATGAAGTGATATCAGTCTGAAGAGCACAGAGATAGTCTGCGCCAGCATTTAAAATTGCGTGTGTGGAAGTGCTCACATGTGCCATTGAGAGAGAGAAGGTCAGTCTGTTCACTGGTGGCAGAGAGTCAAGAAAACAGCCTCTGGGCTTCCCCGGTGGCGCAGCGGTTGAGCGCGGGGTTGCGAAGCTGCCCGCAGCCTCTGCAGTGCCGGTTCGATCCCCGGCTGCTCCCCGGCCACCGGAGGAGGGTCCCACATGGCGCGCAGACCTCTCCTGCCGCCCGCTGCTCCCCTCAGCAGTGTACTTCGGTCCTTCTGCCTGTTCTGCATCCTGCTCTGACTCTGGTGAATTCTCTCACCCTCCCGCGCTGCGCTTCTGACTGTACCCAGTGTTTGTATGAATAAATAAAATAAATCTTAAAAAAAAAAAAAAAAAGAAAACAGCCTCTGACAGTGTTAGAGTTCTTGATTACAGGACATGGTGAAAGTAGAGGGAACTTTTCACTCAGTGAAAAGAAGCTTGCATTCTAGATGTTAACTTGATTGTTTCAGCATCATCCACACTGTCCTAAAATAGAACTTTTGTGGAAGGTGCAGATCTTTAACTTGTGAAAATAGCAGGCTAACCATAAGAGAGATTAAAAGCAACAGATAGAAATGAAATTCCTGTTAACGGTCTTAACAAAAGTGTGATGTACTTTATTACTCTCTTTTTTTGTATTTTAAATTTATTATTAATACTTTATCCCTTAAGTACAAGTGAGTACATATTTATATGAAATTAGTGTTATTAATTGAAGTTCTTTTTTTCCCCCAGTTTATGTTAAGGCCACCCATGCGGCATGCCTCTGTGATCTTATTTAGTCTTAGTATAAGGAAATTTCTCTGTGAGACTTTTATGTAACCTGACAGTTAAAAAAAATTAGAAGCCATTCATTTGTTGGGTTTATTGACACGTGGCAGAGAGTAAAAAAAAGAAAAAAGACAGAATGCTTCTCATTCTCATTCTCCAATCCTGTTGTGGTCTAGGCATTCTTTTCTTCAGGGAAGATGTGATTAAGGTTTCTCCTGTCCATAGTTTATTGCTTAAGAATAGTTCAAAGAATTAGGTATCAGGGTACTATGCAAAGAAATTGATAATAACTGTAGTAGTTCATTCATGCCCTAGGCTCTGGCTGTCTTGCAAAGCCACAGACTACTACTATATCTCTACCATGGTAGAACCAATCTCTACTCTTTCTTCCCAGAGCTCCACATCAGCAGTAAGGAACTAAGTGACTTATTCATTGGGGGGGGGGGGGGGGGGGGCGGAGGGTCCAGTGATGGCTCGACTTCTTTATTTTATGCAGAAGAGTTTGAATAAAGTTTTAATTCTTTTGGCAGAATTGTATTAATCAGTACAAGATTAGCTTGTAACCCTTAATTTATTTTGGGTGAAAGTAGTCTCCATATCTAGTTGAATTTTAACAGAATAGGATTCTTAAATAGACACTCCAGTAATGTTTACAAGGATGAGGGAATTATGTTTAAGGACAGAAGTGCCTTCGGTTTTCTGTTGCACAGTGTGACAATATGGGTGAGTCCCATGTGCTTTTTTGACTTGAAAGCAATTTGTCACAAACCACCAAAATTGAGTAAACCAGAACTATTGAATAAGCTATAAAAATGGAAAGTAAGACAGTAGAGAACTTAGTCATGCTTGAATGACCCTTGATTTTCCCACGGAGAAAAGCAGGTGCTGCCATGGTCAAGGCAGCTGTGCAAACTCATAATTCAGAGCTGTTGCAACCCTGAAAAAGCATACTCCTCTTAAGAAAATGGTAATCACTATCTGTACTCTGATTGTGGATGTGATTCTTTGTTCTTCTACATCGAAAATTGTTTCCAAAGGTAAATTCACTTAACACAAGCTGATCCTTTTTCAAAATCTCATTTTCCAAAGATAATGACAGTATTTTTAATAAGAACCAACACCACCTATATAGCTCACATAATTAAAAAAAAATCTTTAATATATCAAATCTTCTGTGCACTTTATATGGGTGAATTATTTCTCAGTAAAACTTAAATATGAGTCCACACAATAATTAACTCTTTGCCCATTTATGCCACCAATAAACTCATTATGGAAACTAACAGTTGCTAAGTATGTACTACTGTATGTAGCCTTTACTCATGCTCCTCAGAGATTTCATTCAGCTCAGCATGCTTTGTGAGCCATTGACTGTGACTTCCCAGCTTAGGGCCTGCTACTAGACTGAGGACAGGTTGGTGGGTGATGAGGTACATGAAGATATAACTTATGGTGATCCTCTGAATATTGACTATTAAGTTAACACGATGAACTTGAGGATATATGGCAGCACATGTTGAAGTGACTTGTGTGGTGTGAAGAGTGAGGACAGTTCAAAGAAATATTCTGGGACAGTAATCTAGAGACTTCTATTGTAGATTCTCATGGAAGAGGGAAGAACTGAGCAGTCCAATAAAGGGTAGGTTCTATTGCGGAGGAAGGAATATTCCAGTCAGGAAAGGGACCCGTGATAGTATTATGCCTGACACGTGTGCTTCATGAACTACTTCTTCCACAGGATCTTGAACATAAAGAGTGAAAAATCAAAAGGTGGTACAAATTTAGGAAGGTCACATTATAGAATATTCAAGGGGCTTAAACTGGCTTGAATTAGGTGTCCAGCAGCCAAGCAGTGATTGCAGTGAACTGTGTCACAGTTAACCATGAGTGAGATGGTGCCCAAAAGTCTGGTGTGAAATCACTATATAAGAGAAATCAAAGGTATCCAAGGATAGCGAGAAATGTTTCATGACTGACTGGGGTTTATGACTTTAGAGAAAACCTGTGCCATTACCAGAGAATGGGACTTAGTTTCTGGTTTAAATGGGAAAAATAATTTTATTTTGAAATTTAAGAATGGCATTATATGGGGTGGATTTGAATCCCAGAACTTGACTAGTATCAGGCAGACATTCCATTTAAACTTTCTTTTGTTTCGCTAAAACATGCTGAGTCCTCATGAGGATTAAAATGGAATAATATACTGGAGAACACTTTATGAAGTATTGAGCTGATGAAGGGATATTCATGTTTAAAATAACTGGAAGAAGTAAACGCGAATGCAGAATATAGTTGTGTTTGTTTCCTAGGACTACTGTAACAAGTAACACAAATTTCCATTGGGTGGCTTAAAGCAATTGAAATTTATTCTTTTGCAATTTTAAAGACTAGAGTTTTGAAATCAAGGCTTTGGCAGAGTTGGTTCCTTCTTGGGGGCTGAGAGAGAATCTGTTCCATGCCTGTGTCTTATCTTCTGGTGGTTGCTGGTAATACTTGATCTTCCTTGTAGATGCATTGCTCCCATCTTCCTTGTCTTCACAAGACTATCTGTGTGTCTTTGTGCTTCATATGACTTTCTTAGAAGCATATACTGATTTTTAGATTAGGTCCCACCATAACATAGTATCACCTCATCTTAACTGGTTACATCTGCAGGTCTTATTTCTTAGCTGTAGTCATATTCTGAGCTTATGAGCAGACATGAATTTCGAGGGGCCAGGAAAGGAGACACTTTTTAACCCTGTATACTGGTGTAGAACTATTTCTAAATAAACCTAATCGTGTAATTTTTTTTTTCAAGAGCACTGGGATTAAGTTGCCTTCATCGGTGTTTGCATCAGAGTTTGAGGAAGATGTTGGATTATTAAATAAAGCTGCTCCTGTCTCAGGTGTGTTTAATTTTCTTAACTGTTCAGGTGGAAAGAGAAACAGTAATGATAATATTTTTATCTGTAGTAAATTACTGAAACAATTGAAATATGACTGAATTCAGATTAGAGTTCATTAGGTAGGGACGAGTATGATTAGCATCCTTTTATCTCCATCAAATTCTTGGCTTTTGGCATTCCTTCTTGGAGGCAAAGTGGGAATATTATTTTTGTCTTGACCCCACCTCTTTTTAAGGAATCAAGCATTCCAAATCTCAGTCTGTTAACTTTCAAAATTTCCCCTGAGAGTATCGAAGCGCTTTATAGAAGTCTATTTTACCATCTATTCCAAATACACTAAAAAAATTATAATTTTTTTTTTTTTTTTCAGTGCCAACATTGTATTTTAAGAAATGGTGTTTGGTATTTCCTCCTAAATTCCCTTAATTATTGGCCAACATGTAACATCCATTCACTCATTAATTCACTCTACAGATTTTTGAGTTGCTTCTATGTGACAGAATTGGGTTAAGCCAGAATAAAACATTACCTGACCTGAAGGATTTACCATCAGTTTGGAAAGAGAAATAATAAATGGGAAATTATAATCACAGTACAAGTGAACAAATAGTGGTTGGCACCAACCCTCCTGTCAGGGAGCTGGCCAAAGCGTCTTGAGGAAGTGATAAGTTTAGATTGACTTCTTACACAGAAGGTAGGTAAGTAGATGATGGAGGATGAGGTGAGGAGGAGAGGATTTTCCAGATAGGAAATGATGTGCTAAAGTAAGAAAACATGAATATAGGAAACTGCATGCTTTAGCATGAATGAAGGGTAAGAATTAATATGAAATGAGGCTGGAGAGTTAGACAGTGACCATGTTAAGGGTGTTGGCAGCCAAGTTTTAATTTGAAAGTTATTCTTAGATTTTGTGCTTTTACATATAGAAGACCAAAGATGAAAGAACAAGTTAGGATTTATTAAAATTTCATAGTCTGAAAATGGAGAGTTTAGCAGGCAACAGATACTTTATTTGAGTTACTTCTAACAGTTGAATTAAAAGCCCAGTTTCTTCCTGCAGGTGAAGGCTTTCACTTTGGCTAAATAGACACAGTTTGATATTGTAGATCTCTAATGGAAGAGATTTTACCAATGGTTTTAAAGGGGGAAACATTTTTTCCCCCACATTTTTTTGCAGTTACCCATCTGTGTGTCTACTCACTAGACTGAACTTTTTAAAGTTCTTAGTCATTCTTTTATCTTCACTATATAGGTAGAATCTGGTATATAATAGGTACTCAGATTATGTCAGTTAAGTGAAGTTATCTTGCTTTCTTGAGAATTGCTCAATTTTTGTTTGCCTTCTAGGACCTCGACTGGATTTTGATCCTGACATTGTTGCAGCTCTTGATGATGATTTTGACTTTGACAATCCAGATAATCTGCTTGAAGATGATTTTATTCTTAAGGCCAATAAGCCAACAGAAGAGGAAGAGGGAAGGGATATACAGTATGTGTGGTTTGTTTCAGAGCCAGGATGACTTGGCTGTTGCTTCGTTAGTAGGGTGGCAAACAATGGATGTTCTCTCTGAAGATACCTTCAAGATTATTTAGTCTGAGATTTCTGTATTTTAGAGCAGAAAATGTGAGACTTGAGGTCTTTAGAACTATCGATAGATGGGGCTAAAGTCCAAGTTGCCTGATTACTAGTTCATTACTTTTCCAACCATACCAGATGGGTCAGGCAACACAGCTGTTCCTGCCTAAACAAGAATCCTCCCTGAAATACCCTCAAATTTTACTTGTGTAAAGTCATCTAGTTCTGTTGTTTTTAAAGTTGTTTTGACAGTTAATTTGACTCTGACTTTAGGAAATCTGAAGCTGACGATGGCAACGAGTGGGAAGATATGGATGATGAGAATGAAGGCGGTAGTGATGATGCTAACTATGACTCTGTAGGCTCGTTATCAGATGATACATCTACCCCTGGAAAGCCTCTTGGGGTTACAGAAAATCACTTGTTCTGGGAAGAGGAGACGAAAAGTCGCTTTACTGAGTATTCTATGACGTCCTCAGTCATGAGGAGAAACGAGCAATTGACCCTACATGATGAGAGATTTGAGAAGGTAAATTTCCTGAGTGAGGGACCTTCTAATACTAATGCCTAGTAAGTTTTATGTAACGTCAGAATCAAAACAAAACAACAACAGGGCCTCACCGGTGGCGCGGCGGTTGAGCGCTGGGCTGTGAAGCTGCCCGCAGCCTCTGTAGCGCCGGTTCGATCCCTGGCCGCTGATGAGGGTCCCACGTGGTGTGCAGACCTCTCCTGCTGTACCCGCTGCTCCCCTCAGCAGTGTACTTCAGTCTGCCTGCTCTGCTTCCCCTCTGGCCCTGGGAATTCTCTCACCCTCCTGCGCTTCTGACTGTACCCAGTGCTTGCATAAATAAATAAATAAATCTTTAAAAAAAAAATTCCACATTAGAAACAGCTTTTGTCTTATACTAAAATATACTATAAAATCCCCCTATCTCTAATTTGGAAAGAAGTAGTATAGGTCAAAAGATGATCAGACTTGACTTCCTCCTAAAATTCTGACATTTTGAATTTGAACTTCTATGATCACAGTCCCCAAGATTGCTGTTTCCCTGAGCATAAGTAAAATATTTCTTTTAGGGTTTTTTGGGTATATTTTTCTCATTGGTGTATTGCAAGACCTAAAGTGAATTTGAACTGTTGAACAAATGTTGAATGAATGAATGGATGGTTTCCTTCAAAGTGAAGTTAAGATAAAGGTTCTAACTTTGCTGCCCTTTCACTGAGTACTAGTTTCTCTTCTCTCCAAGAGACAGTCATACTGTTACTATTATACCTCACTGTTGAATTATATCATCCTGGGCTTGCTTTCATGAAGACAAGCAATGTTAATAACTTTTGAGTAACATAGTAAACATCACCTAAAAGAAATGAAATGTGTGCATTAATAAGAGTCTATTTAAAATGTTGCATGACCTTTTAGTGTGCATGCTCATATTTGAAGGTATATTTGTAAACTATTTTATGGTAAAGATTTCTATTTAGCCTTTTGTTCGCCAAGCTGAACAGAATGATTGCCTTTCATTTTCGTATTAGTGTCATCCTATTTATAATCTAAATGTTAAGTCTTAAATTGCCGCATATAGAATACCTTCCATGTCATATTGTTAGGGTACCAAGTCTATGCCAATATGTTAATTTAGTTGTGATCTCATGACAGTAATTAAATATTGTGTAAGAATAAATTTAATGTAAAAATGACATTTAAATGCTCTATTTTCAATGAATACTTGCATTTTTCATGGTACATTTTTCCTTTAAATTCAAGTTTTATGAGCAATATGATGATGATGAAATTGGGGCTCTGGATAATGCTGAATTGGAAGGTTCCATTCAAGTAGACAGCAATCGCTTAGAAGAAGTTTTGAATGACTACTATAAAGAGAAGACAGAGAAGTATGGTGACTTTTTCCTGCTTACCCTTTTTTTTTTTCATTTTTAAATAAGGTCTGTGATTATAGCTGAATCTAGCAAATCATCTAGGCAGAATCCTTTTGAGAAAAGTAGTACGTCGTCTGTAACCATGTTTTGCTACTAAGAGTTCTGTAGTTGGATATGACACTGGGTGGGAGCATACTGAAAACAGCTTGTCTACAGTTTTGACCTAATCGTCCTGGGGAATAACAGGTCTGAGTGGGCAGATGGAACTCACATTCCACCTGAGAATAAGGTAGCTTCTAGCGTCTTTGGCTGAAGAAGAATTCTGACTTCTGAGTGTATACATTCTTCGTCCTCCTGAAATGTCAACAATTTCAGATGTAGGTATTTATGGCATATAGAAAGATAGGAATTTATCTCTCTAGTCAGATTAATATACAGCTGGTCAAATTAATTGGCCAATCAGCATCCACATCAAGGTGATGTCTCTGTTTATTGGAACCTGATGTTCCATCATCACTGTTATGTGCAGATCCTACAATAGGGCAGGGGCTACATACTTTAAATTATTTGAATACTCTGGAAAGAGATGGGCAGTGTTTTTCAAGACTTTAAAAAAAAAGACCCTGTGTGGGAAAACTGCTGTCTTGTTTAATGAGTTCTAACCTAGCAAACATGTGGATGCATCTTTCCTTCCTGTCAGAACAGTGAATCTCTGAAATCTGCTCGGGGGGAGGGCAGGGCTGGGTAGAGCTGATCTTGACACAAAATGACAGAAGGCACATGTGAATTTGCGGATTTTTAAAATTGCTGTTATTTCCATGGAATAATAATAGGCATTTCTTTTTCCCAACCCCCATCTTCAATGAATAGTTGTGTGAAGTTAAATACTCTTGAGCCCTTTGAGGATCAGGAGCCACCAATGAATGAACTTGATGGGTCTGAGGAGGAAGAGATTGTTACTGTAGTTCTTGAAGACTCTAAAGAGAAGTGGGACTGTGAATCTATTTGTAGTAAGTATCTCATAGGGTCCATTGTACTGCTAAAATTATGATAATTTAAAAATATTAAGTACACATTGACTTTTTGAAAAATATGAAAAAAAATGTTTTAGAAAAAGTAATATTCCTATTACTGAGTTGTAATCAGTTTTAAATCCTTTACAAGAGAGACTTGAGTGTTATTTTGAATTGTAAAACACCAAAGTTGGGAATGTAGTAGGAACTCAGTAATATTTTGCTGAATTAAAAGTACATTTATTGATACATAATTTTTTTTTTTTTTTAGGTACATACTCAAACTTATATAACCACCCACAACTTATCAAGTATCAACCAAAGGTAAGTCTTAGTGGTGAGAACTATTTGAAATATGAAATAAATGCAAGAAATGTGGTATACAAATTATTTTTCACCATACCTTTATCCTTTTGTGACAATACTGTTAGGAAAAGCAACAGCAATATATTATTATCTTTTTTTGGTAGGAATGGATAATAACACTAGTGCCATTTTATCTTTATTTCAGCCCAAACAAATCAAATTATCTTCTAAAACAGGAATACCTCTCAATGTCTTACCTAAGAAAGGACTCACAGCAAAGCAAGTTGAACGAATGCAAATGATTAATGACAGTGATCTGCCTAAGGTGTCAACCCAACCACGTCCTAAAAATGAAAGCAAAGAAGATAAAAAAGCAAGGAAGCAAGCTATAAAGGAAGAGCGCAAGGTAATGTACTTTCCTCAATTATGAGATTTTAAAGAGTTAGGGGCGTGGGGAGTCATGGGAATTTTCTTTTGTAAAATTAGTTTTGCCTCCCTCTGAAGGTTTGAATAACATGAACTTGTTCTTCTTCAGGAACGGAGAGTGGAGAAGAAAGCTAACAAATTAGCCTTCAAACTGGAGAAAAGTAGGCAGGAAAAAGAGCTGCTGAACTTGAAGAAGAATGTTGAGGGTTTAAAGCTTTGACAGTGGGACCTTTAGGGTAAGGCGCATTCCCCACTAGGGGCTCCTTGATATTTACAATAATGACTGAGTGTCTTCAAAGAGACACAACTGTTTGATCTGCCATTTTTTACTGGCAGATATTGAAAAGAAAGTAGTACAATATTTGTATTTATAACAGTTAAGTTTTCTCTGCAGTTTTGTAAATATTTCAATATTTTAAAATTTAATTTTATAAGCTTAGATTTGCTGCTCTGAAATAAGTGACTTCAGGAATATAAATGTTTGGACACATTAAAGGAAAATATCTTCATAACCTAAATGGAATTGGTTTGTCTTTTTTTTTATACAGTTGTCCCAGTTGTTTTCTGCAGATGTTCTCAAATATTTCTTGGAAGCCTCTCCACTCCTTTTCAGGAATTAAGTGACTTAATTTGCTATATGAAGACAAGTGGCACTCATTTAAACTCAATTTTGAAATGGTGAGTGCTACGAAGAGTTTTCCTGAGAAGGTCCCACTTGCAGGAAACTAAATTTCCCCTTGCTCTGCACAAAGAGCTTTTGCAAAATGATGATAAAACTGAATATTAAAGTTGTTGGGACTTGGTCACTGGAAGACTTACTTTTGGGATTTAGGAACAGTGAAGGCAGGAAACAGAAGACATAATCAAGAAAATTTCCTTGGCTCAGTTAGTAACTGGCTCAAAATCAGAAATACTCAGATTAAACTAGAAAGTTTGTCTTTTAAACATTATTTAATGCTTGGAACAATTCATACTTGATTAAAAAACATAGTTGAAACCTTTCCCTGTTTTTTGGTGAGTTATTTTTTCTAAGTTCTTCAAGCCTTTTCAAGGTTCAAGCTGTGACACCATCACAATTCTTAATTATTTGGTAAACTGAATTCCTTGCTGCAGACAGGTTCTCAGTGACCCTGGTTCATATGCCCATGAACCAGGGCACATGAATGTTTTATCTGGACTATTCTGAGAAAAATCTCTGGGCACTGGTCTGAGTTTGAAACAAAATGACTGACGCAGAACTGATTTTAGCAGGTGAGCTGCATTTGGTATCTAAATTATTAGCATCTTCATCTGTAATTCAATTGACGATGGCCTTTTCAAAACTCTGGTAGGTGTTACCTTGCTCTGAGTGTTATCAATTCTAAATCTTAATTGTATTTTTTTTGAGTGGTGGAAATAAGTAGCTTTAGATAGTCTACTAACATCGATGCAAAAATCTTGACTGAAGAGCTCGTGGAAGTGGAATACTGGAAAGTAAGCACTGAAATCCCAGATTGCAGAAGCAAAGGGTCACATAATGGTTTATGAGAGTGTTGGGAATGTGCTAAATTTAAATTCTAAAAGGTCATTTCCATTATTTTCATAGCTCTCTGTTGAAAGTTCTCAATTAGCAAGAATCATGTAGACATGGAATGTTACTTCTTTTGGTGCTATTCAAATTCTAAAGAACTAATTTTACTACACCTGGTAAAAGGGTTTAAATCAATACATAATGTATTTGGGAATTTAGAGAACATGACTTCATGAATCTTGTTGAAGCATATTGTGGCTGTCTTCTAAATCTACAACTCTTAAATTTTATTTGGAGAACAAATTCTATAATATTTTGAATTACCTCACAATATTTTAGAATATATATATGATTTTAATCATTTATGATCAATGGCTAGTAACTTCACCCATGGAACTTAAACTTCCTACTAAATGTTGGGAGTCCAAAATGTTAGTTTTTTGCCTTCCGGGACCTTATCATATCAGAGGCAGGGTGTATGCAGAAAATATAACTAGTAACGCCAAGTCACTATGATAAGTACCACTTGAAATACAGATCCTGGTACTTGCTGTTCCCCCTGAAGTGCTCTTACTGCAAATAAGCCTTCCTTAAGGTTGGTGCTCAGTTGTCACCTCCCTTATAAACTCCCTGATCATGTATTTAAAAATAACCCACACATCCTTCCTCTGCATTCTTTATTGTTCCTTTCCTGTTTTGTGTTTTCCACAGCCCCTACTGGTATGTAGGTGCTGTGGAGTTATGCCTTGTTTTTCAGTCTCCTCTCTAGAACAAACAATTTTTGGTTACTGCTTTATCCCAGGGTCTGTAACTCTGACATTTGGTAAACTAAGTAGTATATGAATGAAAGGATAGTAGGGAAAGACATTTCAGTAAAGAATTGCTTAAATAGTGAAATAGAAGAGTTAATGCTAGTAACAGGAAAGAAGGGAAGAATTTACTGTATCTTAAGGATCTGTTTCATTTAAGCATTATCTATGATTGGTTTAAAATAGCTTTTTCAGATAACTTAGTACCACTTATTTCACAAGTCAAGGTATTCAAAAGCTGCTACCATTTATGTATATTACCTGTGATTTATGTATATTACCTGTGTGTGTTTTGTCATCACACCTTCATTGTGATGTCATCAAATTACCTCAGTTGGAAGACAGCTCTGGCCACCTTAGAACTTCATTGATACGCTTAATGCTTATGTGTTTCTTCCCTGTGTGTTTGATCCAGCCTGTATGTTAAACAAGTTAAAGTTAAGTTGGTTGAAGTTCAGGAGAAGGCAAGAATTCTAATGGCCTGCCTTATTTTCTTTTTTTTTTTAAGATTTATTTATTTATTTATTTATACAAGCACTGGGTACAGTCAGAAGCGCGGGAGGGTGAGAAAATTCACCAGAGCCAGAGCAGGGAGCAGAGCAGGCAGAAGGACCGAGGTACACTGCTGAGGGGAGCAGCGGGCGGCAGGAGAGGTCTGCGCGCCATGTGGGACCTTCCTCCGGTGGCCAGGGAGCAGCCAGGGATCAAACCAGCGCTGCAGAGGCTGCGGGCAGCTTTGCAACCCAGTGCTCAACCACTGCGCCACCGGGGAGGCCCCCTGCCTTATATTTTCATTGTGAAACAATAGTGGAATGTATAATAAAGCAAACATACCCACTATTCAAGTTAAAGTAATAGAATGTAGAAATTACCTGGGTCCATCTTCAATTTCATTCTCCTTCCCCCAGTAATTCTTAGGTAATATCCAGGCTTTTGTATTAGTCATTACCTGTATGATAAATCTCAACATAATGTCTGGTTTTGAACACGTGTAGAGCATAAATCTAGGTAACTAATCTGACTCTTAGAGTTCTTGGAAGGCAGCATTTGCTACCATTTGATGAAGTCATTGAGAAAATGAACTAATTGGTCTGTGAGTCTGACTAGCTTCTAGACTTTACAAGAATCCTATGTAGAGATAGCAGTAAGTAAGGTGATGAAGAGTCCTAGAGGACTACAAGTCCTCACAATTGAGGGTATCCTGGATCTCCAGCAGAAATATGCCTTGAGATTGGATGCTTGTTTTGTATTTTCTGGCTCTGTGCTTTCCATGACCTACCTCCATCTCTCAAAATCCATGGAGAACCTTCCTGTGGAGTGAAATGAGCTGTTCTGTGCATCACAATAAGAAGGGAAGAGCAGGCACTTCACTGGGACATGGTCAAGCCAAATACAGAACATATGTATACTAGGACCTGCCCTTGTCCTCAGATTACAATGACAGTGAATATCTTGGTGACAACAGTCTTCAACCTGTCTGCCTTGAATCACACACTTCTGTCTGATTGATTGCTATCTAGTTCTAGTGGCCAGTTGTTACCCTGAGAACTCCCTCCTCTTCTATGTTGAATTGCTTCTTCCTGTTTTGTAGAGCAAGTTCCCCAGTAATTCTTGAGACAGGGTACATGGAATGTAAACTTTTAAAATCTTGCACGTCTAGAAGTGGATTCTACCTTCGTATTTGATTGATAGCTTAACTGGGTATAAAATTCATGAATTTTTTTTTTTCCCTCATAAGTTTAAAGGATTTTCCCTATTTTCGTTTTTTACTGTTGGGGAATCTGAAGCTATTCTGATTCCTAACACTGTGTGTGTAACTTTTTTTTTCTCAAGGTATAAGAATCTCCAGCATTCTAAACTTTTATAATAATGTTTACTATTATAGATCTATTTTCATTCATTGTGCCTGGGTCCTTTCAATCAGATGCTCATATATTTCACTTCTGGGAATAGTTTAAAATTATTTTTATTTTCTCATTTATGTTTCCTCCTTTTCTCTCTTGAACTGTTATTATTTGGAATAATACCTCTTGACAGGTAATCTGATTTGTTGCCCACCATATGTTTTGCTCCCATTTCTACTCCATTTTCTTCTACTTTCTAGGTGGTCAGCCTAAGTTTATCTTCCACTCTTACTATTGAATTTTTCATTTCTCCTATCAAGCTTGTAATTTCCAAGAGATTTAATTGTCCTTTAAATTGCTTTTTGTTTGTTTTGAGTTTAAATACTAGAGACCGTCCTCAGATCTTTGGATATTCCTGTTCATTATTAAGACTGGAGGAAGAAAACAGCAGAAATTGAATGATTAACATTTGATGATTTTGAACTTCAGTGTAGGGTTGTCTTGAGTGGAACTCTAGCCATTGTCAGCATCTTTAGCTCTTTCCCCAGGGAATGGTCACATTCCCAAGGAAGTTTACATTTTGCCTTGTGAGTAAGGGTCTGGTAGGCAGAGTTCTGTGAGTCAAGTAGAGGAAAGTGGGTGTGAGGTATTCTTTGCTTTCATCTTAACTATGAGATTATTCACTAGATTATATATGATTACACATACATCATAATTGATCCTCATTTTTCATGGAGCCCCTACTTGCAAATCTGCCTACTCACTAAAACCTATTTGTAAGCCCAAACCCAATACTTGTGGCACTTTTATGGTCATTCACAGACATGCTAGAGTAGTTAGAAAGTTGAGTCACCAACATGCCTATTCCCAGCTAAGGGAGAGAAGGTGATGCTCTGTGTTCTTTCAGCTCTCGTACTATAAACAAGTTTCCTTTTCATGGTCTATTTAGTGCCATGTTTTTCATGTTTGCACATTTACTTGGTGATTTCATTTGTTACAAATGGTCTCCAAGCATAGTGTTGAAGTGCTGTCTAGTATTTGTAAGCACAATCTGTGATGTGCCTTATGAAGAAAATACATCTGTTAGAAAAGCTTCATTCAGGCATGAGTTAGGGTGTTGTTGGTCATGAGTTAGATGTTATTGAATGAATCAACCAAACATATTAAATTGTGTGTTTAAGCAGAAATACATAAAACAAGGTTGTGTTTTCATAGGTTGACAAGAATGTGCTAGAGGCTCACAGGCACCTTATTCTGTATTTTCCTAGGAGTAATGGTTGGTTTTTTGCTAAAGAGATGTCAGTCAAGGGGGAGTTAGGGAGGGGATGTAAGAATCTTTGGATTTTTACTGTGAATCTTCATATTTAAGCAGCCTCTTGTGACTTCCTCACCACCCCACCCACCTTCTCCATCCTGTCCCAGTTTCGGAGAGATGTACTGCTCCCAGGGTCCTATGACTTTTTGAGGGTTCACAGTGCAAATCGGGATGGTTCTCAATTCTCCCTATTGTCAGTTTGAGAAATGAATTTTTATATAGCTTTTAAGTCCTCCAAGTCAGCTACTACATTCATCAGTTTTCCAGATCAAGTTTATTTCATTGTTACCTTCTTCCCTCACTATCCTTGTGGTTCTCTCTGTTTCGATACCCCTTTACTGTAGTTTTACGGGGACTTTGGAGAAAAACAAAATTAAATGGGGTATTTTCTCTGCCATCCTAACTCATCTGTCTTATTTCCTTATTTCATAACACGTGTTCCTGGGATAAGTTATTGAGACCAGTATGCCACCCCCTTGCCAAGGGGCCATGGAAGGTGCTGATATTGCTAATGTTTACATGTTTTGGTCTACAAAGAACTTAAAAGACTTTTGGGCTCTTTGACAACTGAATGAAAACAATGTCTTCCTTTTTCCTTCCTGCCCTGCCATTAAAAGAAAAATGTGGATTGATAGATGTCTTTACAAAACATTCTTAACTTCCAACTCAGAAAGAGTATGTAGTGAAAAGTAGAATATTAATCAATTTCACTTTAGCTATAATTCAGGCTTCTTATACAATTTTTGAACTGAAATTTTTGTAATGCTTACTTTTCATTAACATGTTAAACTGTTGATCATTTCCAGATCACTTTCCTCATGTTAAAAATTGTCTTAAGATTATAACCCAATGTATAAAAATAATAGGCACTTTAATAGTCTAAATTAGACTCCAGTTAGGGTAAAGATAGAATCTTTTCTATCAAAAAGATTCTTTTTTGAATATCATGTTTTCCTTCCGATTTTTAAAATAGTAATGAATAATCTTTGTAGAAAATTGAATATGCAGGAAACTGAAGAAATAATGTTTAATCTTACCACTCAGATATATGTATGTGTACAACTGATGTCTTCAGGGTGCTCAATTTAATCATATTGTGTCTGTCATCATTTTAAATTTCTTTAACTTGTTAAAATTCTTTGATTTAAATCAAAGGCCATTGATCCTGTAGGGACTTCCATTTGCTTTGCAGCTTAGTACTGACAGATCTATATTATGGTGAGGGCTGAAGAAACAATACTTTGGAAATAGAGACTCAGTTTTAAGTCTCATTCAGTGTAACCATTTAATACCTGTGGTCTTCAAGACATCACCTAAACTTGAGGTAGGTTCCATTTTTTATCTGTTTAAAAAAAAAACAAACCGTCTCTGAGGATTAAATGACGTTCATAGGAAAAGTGTTTGGGAACAGGAAAACAACATGCAAACATTCATAAAAAGTGTCCTTTATTAGTGTTTTTTAAAGTTTTATCATTAGGATGAATAGCTTTTATTAACAGATAAGTATGGGGGATTGGAATAACGTGGCTGAAAAAGAAAAATGAAGGTTCAGTTTTACACTTGGAAGGAGAATAAAACAGAGGAGAGTGGTGTTTCTGTATGCTGTAATGGATGACCTGTGTTACAAATCCAATACCATTTGGCAGATGTGAGAAGAAATCATTTAAATCAACAATGTCTGTAATGAGCTACCATCTGATTTCTGTTAATCAGGTCTTTCTTTTTCAAACTATCTTCCCTTGGTTTCCATGACCTTGTTCTCTCCTGCTTCTTCTGGCTTATCATCATCATCTTTTTGGCCCTTAAATGTGGAGTTCTCTAGGGATCATCTCTGTACTTCTCTTTCCATGACCTCTTCCCTGGCAATATCACGCCTTTACATCACTCTCCAAACAAAGCCTACATCTGTGTTTCTAGCCTTGACCTCCCTCATTTCCATCCTGCTGGCTGGAGTACTTGCTCTCAAGTTCAGGGTTTCCAAAACTGAGGTCATTTTTCTTACTAAGATGGCCCTTTTCAAAGTATCTCTTTCTCTCTACTCCCCTACCATTTTCTCAGTCCCTTAACATTCTCTTATTGCCACCTCCCAGCTCCCCACAAACCCAGTCAAGTGGACTCTCTGACCACATTGTGTCTCCCATTTTGTTTCCTTTTCAGGTCGACACCTTTAGTTTTTTAATATCACATTTTCTCTCCTTACCTCTGTAACATTCCACAACTTTGTTCCTGTTCTTCACTCAGGGTCCTTGATTGCTTCCCTTGTTTGTAGAATAAAGTACAGACTGTCTACTATAAAATCTGCCCTATAATCAAACTGCTTTTTAAATCTATTCAACTGCAGATGAATATGAAATGAAACTTTTCTCAACATTCCATAATGTTTTGCTTCTCTCATGACACTTTCTAACCTCATTTGAAGTAATTTATGTGCATACTTCATCTCCTTTACTATGCTAGGCCCATGTATGGTTTCTCTTAATATTCCCACAGAGTTGCATAGAGCAGATATGTAGTCATTTATTGAATGAATGATTGGTCCTATGATAGAAACAAGCTTAATTAGACCATGCAGTCAGGGATCACCTGCCTATGGGTCAAGTACTTTGAGGCATTGCAGTATCTCAGCCTTTTTTTTATTTTTCCCTTTTATATTTTAGTTTGTCATTTAAATTTTAAGACACTAGTTGAATAGTAAAACAAAAACACTAGAAACCAGTGAGCATATTGGGATTTTAGCCTTTCACTTGTACAGGAATGCATACAAATGCCAGCAGCGTTATTCACTAGCCCTATTAAGAGGTCTGACACACACCACCACTCTGGGGTAATGAGTCACATCTTCAGATGCTATTCCATTGTAATGGCACCATCTTTCCTGATTGGATCAAAGTCCTCCAGTTCTACTTGGTCCATTTCACCAGTTTCTTTTACTTTCTTCCTCTCAGGTAGACTTTTTTCCCCAAAAAATTTATTAGGCAAGAGAAACCCATTCTCAGGAAAGTTTACCTTAATTTAGATGATTAGGCAGCCCTTTTCATATGGTCTATGATAAATTGATGTGCCTTCATTTTGCACACGCACAGAACTTACAGTCTGGTAGGAGTCCAAAAGATGTTACTGTTGGAATATTTATGGCTTTTATAGAAAGGGATTAACATTGTACTTATGTCCAATGCCAAACCATCAGCCACTTAGTTTAAGAAAATCTTGGATATAAAATAATTATACTCGGGTTGCCTGAAGAATATGAAATTTACCTGTTCAGTGAAGTCAAGTTTGCTAGGAGAGGAAAACACAGGTGAGTAGACAAAGGATCTTCCTAAGAGAAGTAGTTGGTGGGGAGGGAAAAGAGTGAGGATATCAAGCTATTGAGGTCTACTGCAGTTAGTCATTTCTTCTCAGGCAGGCAATTCCATGAAACTAACATAATGTGCTCTTGGATCTTCTACAGATGGCAATCAGAAATTGTTTCCCTGTGAAGTCTGTGGAAGACGCTTTGCAGCAGATGCTCTGGTAAACATAACGACATTTTGTAGATGTGTTTCATTGGAGTTAAATGAACTGTCAAGTTAGTAAGGAGGCCACAGTGGCAAAGATTAAAGACAGATGTGGAGGGTTAGCTAGGGAAGACAAGTCCATAACCTATGGCTGGTGGGCCCAGAGGACACTGAGTTAGGTCGATGCTGCCCCATGCAAAAGAGCTTGCTAGGCTCAGCCCTCTTACTACAAGGCTGCCAGATGAAAGTGTCTTGGCAAAGCTGATGTCTCTTGAGAGGTTCTGGCTTTTTCGTCTTTTCTATAAGCATCAAAAATTCAAATTTTAAGGCCAAAGCACCAGGGAAATTAGCTAGTTGAGAGGAATGAACATTGAATTTGGAGCATCTGGAAGTTTGGCTTTTAGCTGCATATTTGTCACTAATTCTGACAGTTCCCTTAACCTCCGTCTGTTTCCTGCTCTGCCACGTTTAAAGACAGAACCCTTCAATTTCAGGCGTTGTATGTAATTTGAACAAAATGGATACAAGACCTGTTCTAAGATCTAACCAGATTCAAGCTACTTGCATGTCAAGTCCTCTGATTGCTATAAAGTTGAATAAAAACTTTATTTTAAAATTAGGGAATCAAACAGGTATTAGGTCTCAATATTGTAAAGGGATTTCCAAGAAAGATGATCATTAAAAAATTAAAATGATAATCCAATTGTTAGTTGGGACATTTCAGATCAAGGAGACATAGCAGACTTAAGAGATCTGAACTATAAGCCTTGTAAGTTTTATTTCTCTGGGAATCTTTAAAATGAAATGTTTATTCTTCTAATTAAGTGTGGTTCAAATGTTCTAAATTTAGAAGAGGAATTGACAGGCCTGTTGTAGCCTGGTAATGAGTTTGCACCCCAAAAGAATGGGAGGTACCATTTGAAGAGGGACCACTTAATATCAAGTTCATCTGGAGTCCTATTGAGTTTTACTTCCTACAATGGTCTGTAGGTCACAGAGCATTTGATTAAGTGATCCGATTTACCCCTCCTTTTATTTAAACTGGTTTGCTTGTAACCAGGTGAGTGATTTTCATAGACCCTGTACTTTGCTGGTTCTCTTCAAAGCAATTTGGAGATTGTTATTATATTATATAACCACCAAGGAAGAGGATTTAGAGTGAAAGGTTGGTATAATCCCATGATGGTACAGTAGCAGACTTTATAATGGTGGCACAACCATTGTTGTTCCCTGGTTTTTGGTCCACAAAGCTGCCTACATAAAAAACTACTGGCTGGAGTGAAGAGCATTATCCCTGCCAATCATCTTGTACATACTGAAATATTTTTAAGTGTAATATTATAATAAGCTTAAATTTGCTCTGAAATGACTTCGTGAGTATGACATGTTTATATTAATTAGAGGGAAATATCTTCTTTAACTCAAATGGAATTAGTTTGTCTTCATTTATTTGTATGGTTGTCCCAGTTGTTTCCTGCAGATGTTGTCAAATATTTCTCTGAAATCTCTCCATTCCTTTTTAGTTAGGGAATTTAAGTTAATCTACTATATGTGGAAAAGTGACACAGTTCAACTCAGTTTTGAATTGCTGAATAGTAAGAAGAGTTTTATTGAGGAGATTTCACTAGCAGGAAGCAGGTTTTCCTTGGTGTGTAAGGAGTTATTTCACAGTGGTACTAACTAAGAGGTTTGTCTTTTCATTAAATTTAATGTCTTTTTATTAAATAATGATTTAATGCTTTGAACCATTCCTATAGCCCATTTGGTAGAATTAAATATGTAAAATCAAATTTGAAGTCTCTTTTTCTGTAAAGGTCTTTTATTGTTCTTGCTCAAACACAGCATCTTGTTATGTGTAACTTGGGTGAAGAGAGCCAGATGGATTTGCTCTGCTGTGATTTGAGAGTAAGAGAATGAACTTGGCTCTGAAGGTGCAATGCAGTCACCTTAGTGGGAACGGGCTAAGTGCACTGAGGCATGACAATTTGGGGATTGTAAATTTAAAAAATTTCTTTCCTAGGAAAGGCATGGACCAATATGTAGGAAACTCTTCAACAAAAAGCGTAAACCTTTCAATTCCTTAAAGCAAAGATTACAGGGCACGGACATTCCCACTGTGAGGAAGGCCCCTCAAACCAAGGTACTATCCACATCCCCTCTTGTTCCTGATTACATTCTTAAGTACGTTAAATCCCATTTCTGGCTCACTGACTCGTTTTTCCTTGATAGTGCAGTGTAATGTCATGTAAGTATAATCTACCTTTGCTATTTTCTTTTTAATCATGCTCACTTAGATTTCCAAGTGTATTTCAGATACTTTCCAGATGTGGGGAAAAAAGAATCTCATTTATATTTTCATTAGAGTAACATTAAGTCTAGCAATTAACTTCGAAGAAAGTCACTCTTAATCTTACATTTAAGTCCTTGAGTTTTGTAGTTTGTTTTCTTACTGTTATTTTGTGTTTTCCCCCAACTACTGCAACTTGCCAGTTTAATTACTCTATGTTCCAAACCTCTTTTGGTACCTTTGAAAAACAAATTCTCCTTTTTCTCTAAATTTCACAGTTCTGTTTCCTACAAATTCAAATCCCAGCTTAAAAAAACTTAAGAGTTACATAAGATGGGTTAGTATATGTTGGTTTTTTTTATTTACTTTTTCATAGGCTCAACCTGTGAGGAAATCTAATTGGCGACAACAACACGAAGACTTCATAAATGCAATTCGCACAGCAAAGCAGTGCACACTGGCCATTAAAGAAGGCCGGCCGCTCCCACCTCCACCCCCTCCGTCCATCAACCCAGGTGTGTGGCCACTTGCTTTGCTTGTGCAGTTTAGTCCTCACTTGTTGAGGTCGTCCTTGATTTGGGGCCAAACCATCATGCCATCCTCCTTTCTATAGACTCTAAAATTAGCAATCACAATTAACTAACAGAAATTAGATTACAGAAAAATTATATAAAATTCATCTTATCCTATTATTTCAATTCTACATAAAGATTATTTGCTTCTAGCTCTCAAGAGCATTTGAGTGAACCCACGGGACACCACTGTGCCAGGGCCTGGCCTTGCCCAACTCTGGGGGATGCCATGCGCACCCTGAGAACAGAGCTGTGCTGGCGAGCGGCTCCACTCTGGCTCCGCAGCTGCGGACACTCACAGCATTCTCTTTATTCTTTCTTTAGTAAAATTCCCATAAAATAAAATTCAACCCCTCTAGGTTGTATACTTTAGTGGTCCACAGTTTTCTTATTTTAAACTTTTTATTTTGCAAATTTTTAAATCCATAATAACGAGGCAGGAATATTACAATGAGCACTCCTAAATCTTCCACTGGAAGTTGACAATTGTCATATTTTTGCGTGCTTTCTCTCTGTGTTTCTTTGTTTATCTCTCTCTCTTTCTTTCTTTCCTATTTAAAAGTTTCAAACATGATAGTTACCCTTCACTGTTTCAGTAGACATCTCCTAAGCAGCAACATGGTTTCTTATGACACAAAAAGCACAATTTAAAAAAATTTTTTTTTAACTATTTATTTATGCATACAAGAGCTGGGGTACAGGCCAGAGGTATGGGGGGTGAGAGGATTCACCAGAGACACAGTGGGGAACAGAACAGGCAGGTTGACTGAAATTATCCGCTGAGGGGAGCAGCAGGAGAGACAAGAGAGGTCTGTTTTGCCATGTGGGTGCTCTCTGGCTGGCCAGGGATCGAACTCTTGCTGCAGAGGCTGCGGATTGCTTTATAGTGCATTGCTTAACCCTTTGCGCCACCAGGGAGGCCCAAGCACAATTTTTAAAAGGGAAATTGATGAATTAGTCTTCACCAGAATTTAAAATTTCAGTTTTGAGAGAGACACTGCAGAGAATGTAAAGGCAAGACACAGGCTGGTAGAAAATATTCATAAATGTTATGAATTTTGTGACATATGTTTGATAAAGGACTCATATGAAGACTGTATAGAGAACTGTTACAACTCAATATAAGACAACCCAATAAGAACAACACAAGAGTTATATTTGAACAGGTACATCACCAAATGGCCAATTATTATTTTTTGTTTTTTTAAAGATTTATTTATTTGTGTATACAAGAACTGGGTGTAAGCCAGAGGTGCGGGGTGTGAGAGGATTCACCAGAGACAGAGTGGGGAGCAGAATAGGCACATTGACTGAAATACACTGCTGAGGGGAGCAGTAGGCGAGGCAGTAGAGGTCTCCTGTGCCATGTGGGTTGCTCCCTGGCTGACCTGGGATCATGATGCAGTGGCTGGCTGTAGCTTGATCACACTGTCTTTTAACCCCTGAACCACCAAGGAGGTCCAAATGGCCAATTATTACATGAAAAGATAGCCAACCTCATTTTCATCAGGGAAATGCAAATTAAAATCACAAGGAGATATTACTGCACACCCTCTTGAATTGCAAAAATTAAAGGCTGACAATTCAAGAGTTAGCTAAGATGTGGAACAACTAGAAGTCTTATACACTGCTGATGGGAGCATCAAATCATGCAACCATTTTGCATGGGTATTTTCTTGTTAAGTCAAATATACACTGACCTATATAGCAATTCCATTCCTAAGCAAAAAAAAAAAAAAAAGATTTTTTTTTTAAATGACACACATATTGCTCAACAGCAGCTTTATTCATGCAGAATGAACTAGGAAAAACTGAAAATGTCTATCAACAAGTGAATGGAAAAACAAATTGTGGAATATTTACAAAATGGAATACAACTCTACAGTGAGACGCATGCTGTACTGCCCTGCAGTACTGTGGATGTTCTATCATGTGAAATGATACAACATGTCAAACTTGCTTTTAGAGACAGAAAACCAGATCTCTGGTGGCTAATGACTGGATCTGGGGGAATATTGACTGAAAAGGGCCATGAGGAAATTTGACAGGGTGATGGGCTTACTCTATCTTTTAATTGGGGTGGTTATATAAATATATACATTTGTCAAAACTCATTGACCTGTCCACTTAAAATTGTTGCATTTCATTGCATGTAAGTTACCCAAAGTTCATTTTAAAAAAGTAAAAACAAAACTTTTAAAAGATTATAATTACATTGTAAAAAGCATCTGAAAATGAAATTATCGAACTTCTATACCAAAAAATAACCTCAATAATTGCTTCACTTTTGCTGGGTGCTAATGAAAATGTAGCTTAGAATAATGAGTTATCTTAAAATGTTCAGGAAATAGATCTATGGCTGTAATTTTGATAATACTTCGGCAATAAGCTTCATATACCAAAACCATCTTTTATGAGAAATAATATCATTTTAATAGCAGAAGCTACAGGGTTGATGACTGCCTTCTAGTTCTTTATTTGAATAAGTGAAGCCTTGTCAGATGTCCTGCTGTGTGAATTTCTCTCATTTCCATGTTAGATTTAAAATGTGACTGTTTCTTTAAAACAAATAATTCCCTTTGTTAATCTTCATAAAGGATACAATTTATTTTTTTCCTTTTTTTTTTGCTAAAATCAAATTTTATAATTAAATTCTTTCCTGTGCCTTTATTATAATTTTATGCACCAAACAAAATGATTATATACAATAGCACATTTTCATTACTATTCAATTATTTTGATTGTGCAAGGATTTTATATTAGCCCATATATTCTCAGGCTTAAAAACTAGAAAATTTATACAGAAATAACTAGAATTACATATAAAGGGCCTAGTATGCATGCGTTTGCAAGTAAATTCCTTTTTTTTCCAGCATAATTCCCTATTTCATGACTCAAGTTTTGTGACATGCATATATTTATTCTAATTCTTACTGACTTAAGTAAGCCTGTCAATTATTCAACTTTCCAGGATGTTGTGACAGTTTATGGGCACAGTGATGTAGAATATTTATAACAGGGATTTTCTGTGAGGCCCGGGACTTGTGGTCAACCATTTTATAGGGTTGCATAGACAAGGGTAACTCAACAAAATGTTTCATTTTAAAACGATGTTTGTTTTTCTACTTTAATTTTTTATGAGTCCAGGTCACCTTTTCTGTCGTCCTCATAAGAATCCATTTGTAGATGGGCTTTTAGAATCATTATCTATTGGAATAAATAGTGCATAGTAATTTCCATGACATCATTATTGATAGAGAATGAGGTGACTCAGATTGAGACGAGGACAGAACATGCGGTTCAGTCACACTGTGTTCAGATTATTGTTGCAGGAAAATATTTTTCTGTTCTCAGAGTATATGAAATTCCCGTCCTCTGCCCCATGGGTCTGGGCTTCATGCATGTCCCTACTGGGGGTTCCCAGAGGACCCCATACCTCATCCTTTCATGGCTTGTCCCATGGAGTGGAGATAACCATCTGCCCCTTCGCCTCCTTCTCTCATTATCTCTGAAGTTTTTGTTGGCAGGGTGACATTCTTCAACTTTTCTGACTCCAGGGTGGCATACAGAACCCAACACAGAAGTGTGGCAAAGAATGAATGAACAGTTGGGATCAAGGAAGCAACACACTCATGGTCATAAGCATTGTCTTTGCCTGAACTGAGAGGGTTTATGGTGGCAGCATTTCTGATCGAAGACTTGACTTTTTAGCTGGCAAAATGGAAGAAATAATGACCAAGTCAAGAGCCAAGTTCTAAATGGTTTTCTACACCATCATGAATGAGCTCTGCCTGATAATGCACTTTCTGTTTTTGCTAAGTTGTTCCTCTCCTATTTGGTGGTTGGAAACCTAGCCTTTCTAGGCCGTTCTCATGTTCTACCCCACCCACTGCAACAAACCCTTGTGTGGATTATCTTAGGTAACTTTCACAATAGCCCGATGAAATGGGTGATACGTAGGTCCTGGGGAAATTGAAACTTCAGGAGGTTGAGCAACTTGCCCAAGTTTGCACATATAGAAGTGCAGAAGTAGGGATCAAAACCAGTCAAGCAGGCTGCAGGTCTTCACCAGTTCCCAACACTGTTCCTGTTTTACTTTCAAGAAATTTATCATGATGGGAAATAATTGTTTCTGTACCAGAATACTCAGGCCTTGAATGCAGAGACCTTCTGTCCCTAGAGATATTATATAAAATAGGGCTTGGGGGCCTCCCTGGTGGCTCAAGGGGTTAAGACACAACCTATGAAGCTGTCCGCAGCCTCTGCAGCACAAGTTCGATCCCTGGGCAGGGAGCTACCCACATGGTGCAGCAGACCTCTCCTGACTCGCCAGCTGCTCCCCTCGGAATGTATTTCAGTCAGTCTGCTTGTTCTGTTCCCCACTCTGTATCTGGTGAGTCCTTTCACCCCCACCACAGCTCTGGCCTGTACCCCAGTTCCTATATGCATGAATGAATCTTTAAAAAAAAAATAGTGCTTGGTACATAGTAGGTAATCAAGAAGTACTGAATTAATAATTAAGTACTGCCTTCCAGAGTGTAACTAAAAGATTAGAGTCGGTGTTATTTTTAAAATTACATTCAATTTCTTTCATTTCTTACATATGCTAATTCTTACATTTTTGTGTATTCATTTTAGGAAATGATTTATTCAAATAGAAAACTCCACAAATAGTTTAAAAAGGTAGCTTCAAAAAAACTCTTTGAAGCCATCACTACCTTAACTATCCATCCACACATGAAGAAACTTCAGCTATACACTAATCCAAACTTTTAGGCAGAGTCTAAGGTCAGTGCTGTCTCAGATCCTTCCTGGGGAAGGATGGTCTCTTAAGTTGCTCATATCTGTTTTGTCATATCTTAAAGGCATCTAAAATAGAACAGTAAAAACCAAAACAAAATCCCACATCCCTGCTTGCTTTAGATTGAGAGGGGGAACCCCCAATCTGGCTTTGCTGTGTCTCCAATGTTCTAAGAAGACCCTGGATCTTTCTCTCTTCCCATTTTTCTCACTGTGTATTAATAGCAAATGAAGCTCTATTGAGTCCAATGGGTATTACCCAGAACCTATTACCCAGAGCCCTGGGACACGCGAACATTGGAAACCCAAGCTGTCGCTGGAGTCACTTTCTTCTTTTCCCTTTTCTGAGCTTCCCCCCGACTCCCTCCCCGTACACATACCTTTTTTCCTTTAGCTCCTTCCTGAATACAATGAGTCCTCTAACGATGTTGCTTCATGTAGTGTCTTTTTTTTTTTTTTAAAGATTTAATTATTTATGCATACAAGAGCTGGGGTACAGGCCAGAGATGCGGGATCGAACTCGTGCTGCAGAGGCTGTGTATTGCTTCATAGTGCGGTGCTTAATCCCTTGCGCCACCAGGGAGGTCCTCACATAGTGTCTTTTTGTTAGAATGTTGATGAGGAAAAAACTCCAATCCTATCCAATGTTGAAAGAAACAGTGTCATTTGAAGACCTGCTTTTGTTTTATGTTGCTTGTATTACCATTGCCGTTTCCAAGAACCTATCGATGATGATGAGTGAGGACTCACTGTTTATTTACCTGCTTATTGCCTTTCTTGCACTGCATAGTTCAGTGCAAGAATCTAGCTGCCACAGAAGCAGTGGTATCTTGCCACACTTGCCTGACAGCTCCTGAATGGTCTTCTGCTCCACCCATGACCCCAACCTGGGCCTTTGAATCTTCTTTGTCCTTCTGTGTCATCAATACTGAATTCTGTGCTTCTAAGACAATTTTGTTTTCAGAGATCTCATTAAATAATACCCTAAATTGGGAAGTTCCTAGTTATAATCAATTTTCTAAAGATTATATCATGTAAACATTTTAAGGGCACACCTTTAAATGAAATAAGTGTCTAGGTAGTGAATTTTTTTTCCCTCTGTCATGCCCTTTACTTGAATGCTGACATACTCCCCCTCTGCCGCCTTCCCTCCCCCTCAGAACAGACAGTCACTTCTCAGAGTCTGGGACCTTGTTCTTTCACGTTGGGGCAGAGTTCCTTTCCTGTCTATTTCAATTCATATAGTTGACTCCAGAGATATTTTTGAAATGTTTATTGCCTTTCATTGTTATCTTTGCATTCAGATTATATTCAATGCCCATACTGTAGGAGAAGGTTTAATGAAACTGCTGCCAGTCGACATATTAATTTCTGCAAGAACCAATCTTCTCGCCGAGTCTTTGATCCAGCCCAGACAGCAGCCAAATTAGCATCCAGAGCACAGGTAAATATCTCTCCCCAGGTATTGGCTCTTGTACCCTTATAAGCTTGGGGCTAGGAGGTAGATTTACCCTCCTGAGAAGTGTAAGGATGAAGATAGTATCACAATCCTTTCTCCCCAGGAGAAGTGGGTACTTTTGAGGCATGCTTTTCAGCTAACAGCATGAAAAGGTGTAGAATATATTTCCACAATGACTGAAGCCTCTTAAAATAAAGACTTGAATATACCAGTAGTGTTTCTACAGTATTATCGCATAACTCTGTTTATACAATGTTGGTTATCAACATTCCACCCAGAAAACAGTTGTAAACTGGCCTGAGTGGAGGAAGATGTTCTAGGGTGATGTGTTTTGCTCTGCAGGGAAGAGGGACCTTTAGCCCTTTATTAAAAGCCACAGAATCAGCAAATTAAAGTGGGTCGATGGAAACAGCAGTTACAAATAGGTACAAATAAATAAAATGACAATCTGACTAGGTAGGCAATAGATAAACCAAGACAGAACTGGAGCCATCAGACAACCGTTTATATATCAAAGCTCCTGGGACATAACTTATAGCATAAAAACTGTTAATTTCATAACCAGGCTCAAATACCAAGAAAAGATTAAATTTGTCTAAATACTCGAGAATGTAATTTTTTTAGTGAGATTTCCATGAGATCCAGTATATGATTTCCTTTTTTTCTTTTAATATTTATGCTAGAAGAACTGGGGTATAGGCTGGGGGAAGTGGGGATGGTGAGAGAATTCATCAGAGACAGAGTGGGGAGCAGAACAGGCAGACTGACTGAAATACATTGCTGAGGGCAGCAGCAGGTGAGACAGGAGAGGTCTGCTGCACCATATGTGGGTCAGCTCCCTGGCGGGGGATCGAGCTCAGGCCTTAGCAGTGACAGGGTGATAACACTGAGACTTAACCCCTAGGCCAACAGGGAGGCCCCCAGTATATAATTTCCAATACAATCCCGCATTTGTATTTTGAGCTCATTCTCCATATCCATCAGATAGCTAGTTAATATCTACTCTGTTCAGATGCAAATCTACCTGCTTAGTTGACCAAGGATTTTTAGTTCAGAAGAGGAGGGTTTGGAAATAAAGCAGCATGTCGGTGTGTTAGTTGATCATATAGGAATGCCGTGTAAGAAGAGGCCACTGTGATTCATGGGAGGCTTCAAGGAGGCACAAACATTTCTCCTAACACATTGCGCAGGTTCACTAGCTGGGAGTTGGAGTTGGGAAAGGTATATGCAGCGTCCTGCTTTCACTCCTGGAACCCAGCATGGGGTGGGAGCCCAGAGTGCCTGCGGGGAGTGGCAACAAGGTGGGCAGGCAGATCTACAGGGGCTTCAAATCCAGCTAGTTCAGAGAGGACGGAAAGAAGAGTTGATCAGGTGTGTGCTCTAAAATCTGAGGTCAGCCCCCCTGAGGGCCCTGAACAGGAACTAGAAAGCCCCTGGGGAACCCACGGAGTCTTCCTTCCAGCTTTCCATCATCTCTCTTCTTCCTCCGGTGCTTCTGAGTTCTCTTTTCTCCACAGACCAAATTTCATGGCTTTTCTCTCTGTCCAGTTGTCAATTATTGGACTCAGGAGTCATTCTATAGGCAGTGTAGACTGGAGTGACTTGGAATCAGATTTTTTAGGAGAAAAAATATTGCAATTAATTTCAAGTTGAGTTGGTAGGAAACCAGTTAGGAACCACAGCAATAGGCAAAGAATGAGAGCCTGGAATAAGAGGACAGATGGGATGTAGGTGGTAGGGGTGTTTCTGAAATAGTTGTTGGGACTGCAAAGCTGATTAGCTAGAGCGTGAGAGAGAATTGGGGTTGACAAGGTTTTCAGCTCTAGAGCCTAGGCTGGTAGATGTCAATGCTACCCATCTAGATAAAGGGACACAGGAGGGAGGAGACAGGAGTGTTAGGGCTGGGTGGGTGTGATAAAAATAAGCGTAGAGATTCAGTCTGTACACTTGAAATAGTGTGGGAAGCAGTGTAATGTGCAAAGAGCCACATCCTGCAATCAGTAGGGTTTGACGCTAGATTCTATACTTTGCCATCTGTAGGTAAACTTGGACAAGTTACTTAAATTCTTTGAGACTCACTTTAATCTATACCTTGCTGAGTTGCTGGGTAGAGTATAGATGGTATCAGTGCCTAGCTCAGTGCCTGGCACACAGGACTCCTTTGCCTTTCCTCCTCCCACATCACCCCAGCCCTCTTCCCCTCTCTGAGAGTTGGGGGTGGGGGGTATGTCTGCTTTTGCACTTGAATTCAACTTAATTTTGAAAGGGTTTTTTCTGTATAATTCTACCTATGCTTTGAAAGAAGCAAAGGGTTTGTTACATTTCTTGAAATGGTTCTTCTAACCCATCCATGAAGTTAGTTGGCCATGAAGTCAGTGGGGCCAAAGGGAACACAGGGAAGCTGCGAAAGGAAGTGCTTTTTATTCCTGAAGAAGGCCAGCTGGCTGTCCTGAGCGTAACCAGTGACTTGGCCCTGTTCCTCTCCTTGTTTTCCAGAGCTAAGTGGTGATTGGGGACACAGAAGAAAAATTGCTTGCTTTCTGAATTGCCTGCTTTCTGAGTAAACTCACTGTAGAGTGTATCTGAACAGCAGCGCTGTTCCCCTTATGCCAGCTTCACCACTCTAGGGCCTTGCCTAATAGTGAGGCTGATTCAGAAGTGGAACGAAAAGGGAGGGTTGTTTCAGTTTTGAAGGGCTGTTAACAGCTGAAATGTGTTTCTATTTTAAACATAATCAGCTTTAAAAATGTGTTATACCCTTAACCAAAAGAGACCAATATGGGCCTCTAAAAATAGTGTTCTTTGTTTGGATGGGGATGAGCTGCCTTCTGTAATCTCATAGTCATTGTTGCCCCAGAGAGAATTTTCAGAGTAACAGGTTATCTCTATACTGTAGCTTCCATGGAAATGGAGGTGGGATCAATAGCAAGGTAAAAAGGAATTCCCAAGGAAGCTTTTGGTCCTTATTCTGTATGAATACAGCTGCGCTGCTACTGCTGCTGGGTAGGAGGGTATGAGCGGAATGTTGGAATTCCATGTTTAAAACATTTGCTGCCTGCCAATGTCTGTTTTTCTTCTCTGTTCATGTATTTAAAAACAAAATCATCTTCAAGTATAATGAAAAACTAAAATGTTCCATAACTATCCTTATTGACATTAAGTGATTTCTTATGGCTCCTTACAACTGATTTTGCAGGATTAACATATCACTGCTCCCTCAAGGGCTTGATTATGGAATGAAAGTTCCAAAACCCAGACATGGCTTTGTGTACCAGCTGGGAGGACAGCACCCAGGCTAACTTGGGTACTGGGTGTATGTCCCTTTGCCCTGGGTACAGTGGGTCCCCGGAGATAGATTCAGTTGTCTGCTAAGTGCAAACAGCTTTACCTCCTATGTGCTACCTGAGAATACAAAAATATCCCCCACCTTTCTCTTTCTGTAGGGTAGGCCTCAGATGAGTCCAAAAACCGACCCAACTGTAACAAGAGCTGTGGGAACTCTGCTACAGAACAGGGCCCTGGAGGGCCCCAGTGTGGTTTCAGCTGGGTCGGGTGAGTCGGAGTGAGCATCACAGCTCAGGTGATAGAGTGTGAGGGGCACCCTTTTGGTTTTGGGATTGATCAGCTGTTGACAATAGCTCCGACATTCAGTGTTGCGTTGGGGTATAAAGATATGTGGGTTGGTTTGAGGTTAATGATTACTTACTAAGACGGAATGTCTCCTAATTTATCAGAATTAGATAACAGACAATATACGAAGTCAGAACTGAGTATAGCAGTGGGGTCTAGAACCAGCACTCTCTGGTCTAGTAAAATTGTAAAGAGACTGAGCACGGGAGATAAAAGTTGTGTTGAAAATAAGGGAAGAAGTGAAATGAGTATCTTGAGCCATCTGTACTCCTCCGTTCATTACACTATTTCTCACAGTAGCCCTGGTAGGAAAACAACCTCAGTACCTGTTGATGGATTAAATGATAAAGATATGGTATATATTGCATGGAATATTACTCGGCCATAAAAAAGAAGGACATCCTGCCATCTAGCAATGTGAATGAACATTGAGGTGTTATGTTAGGTGAGATAAGTTGTATCTAAGACAAATACTGTGTGATCTCACCTGTGGAATCTAAAAAGTCAAGTTCATAAAAACACAAGTTGAATAGTAGTTGCCAGAGTTGGGGACAGGAAGGAAGGAATGGGGAGAGATGATGATCAAAAGGTGCAAGATTCAGTTACAAGATGAGTAAGTTCTGGGAATCTAATGTAAACCATAGTGACTCTAATCAGCAATACTGTACTTGAAAGTTGTTAAGAGTAGATCTAAAATGTTCTACACACACACACACACACACACACACACACACACACACACACACACACTAACAATGTGAGGAAATTTAATTAACTTCAGTATGCTAATCATTTTGCACCAAATCTTTACATTGTATACCTTATTCTTACACAATGTTTTCTATCTGTGGAAAAGGAAATTCAGGCTCAGAGAGGTTATTTGTTCAAGGCTCACCGATAGTAAACCACAAATCCAGATTAGATGCCTACTGTGATATCACTCTCCATTAAGCTGCATGAATAAATTGACATGCACCAGGAAGTCTACGTGACTTAGTCTCTGACCATACAGCCCTCTGTGATCAGGAGTATTATTTCTGAGATCTTAGCAAAACTAGAGAGGAAATTGCCAGTTTCACATAAAGTATCAGCACCAGAAAACCAGTACACCCTCGCCCCTTCCCACCACCGCCAGTCTGCTCTGCTCACTCCCTTCAGTTCTCTGCTGAGTGTCATCTTCACAGTGAGGGCTCCCAATGCCTATATTTAAAATGAATCAAGCCCTCTTTGATTCCCTTTGTAGTTTGTTGTTTTTTTTTTAAAAAAGCATTTAAGGCCAGATAATATTTAACAGATATTTGTTTCCCTGTCCCCTTCACCAAAAGGAAAGTATGGCTCTAGAAGGCAGGACTTTGTCTAATTTGTCAGATTTTTTATTGTCATAAACCTGCCTGCTAGAATTGTTCTTGGCACATATGAGGCGCTCCATACTTTTTGAATGAAATAGATGGCAGACAAGTAGGTGTCTTGATATCTTAATTCTCACTTGAATTATCGGCATACAAATGGAATTGTCATGTAAATTAGCTGTATGGGACAGTTTTGTGGCATTATTTATTATTTTTAACATTTCGTTCTTTCCTATGACCTCACCTGTTTACATTTAAAATTATGATCTGATGAATCCTCTCACCACCACCCCCCCCCACACCTCTGGCCTGTACCTCCGTTTTTATATAAATAAATAAATAAATCTTTTTAAAAAAATAAAATTATGACTGCCAGGTTTAGAGAGCCATTTTATTAGTCACATTTCATTTGGAGCCATTCTTGGGGTGGAAGCAGAAGCACACTGAGGGGAGGTGAACTCCCCAAAATGCTTACAACTCAGAAAAGCATTGAGTGCCTTTCCTTAATGTAAACTGGTCTCCTTGAGAATCAGATTCGCACCTATTGTCCATTGCTCTTGTTCTGGTCAGTATTAACCTATTTATAATATTAAGGTTTTTTTACAATCACTATCGATGGGCTTTGCTACTTCTAAACTGACAGTAGTGTCATCTCCCTTCCACATAAGTCCTATTACTGTCTTTCATCTGGTCAATAGTTAACCCCCTACAATTCTGGTTTACATTCTTCAACTCTCTTGAGTAAGAGAAGGATTAGTACTTCCCATGTGTGTTTTTAAATTCACACTCTGGGGAGATATGTTTAAGTCATAATCCTTATTCATCCCAGGGTCCCCATGGATTCTTATAAGTGTAGGGGGAGCCAAATCCAACAGAGATCAGCATTTCTCAAGAGCTCTTATGGAGGAGGCGGCAGTCTGAGAGAGAGGAACCTTGTCAAGGTGGAGGCATTTGGGATGAGCTTTCAGAAGAGCTAGGTTTTGACCATTGGAGAGAAACTACAGAAGGAATGAACAAAATATGAAAGGAAGATTGCTGAGGATTTACCTAAACACAAATATGGTGCATTTGGCCAAAGCATGGAGAAGCTTTGGGGTGTAAAGAGAAGTTAAACTTAGAATGGGAGGCTGGCAATAGGGCTGGGGCTGTCACTGCTCTGCAAGGGACCCCAGCTCTGTGACTGGTGCTGATGTCACATCCATGGGCTCTCTCACCTATGTAAGATAGGCAATTGTGATGGCCAGGAACTTTCATTTCTAGCGGCTTTAAGTTATCCTACTAATTTCTTTTGAGAAAGAACATTTTAAAAATGATCATGCAAGAAATTTATGCTTACTGTAGAAGGTATTGGCAAATGGAGAGAAAAGCATAGAAAATAAAAGTCACCCACAATTCCAATCCCTGAGCTGGCCCTCTTAACATGGATATCTTCTTCCAATTTTTTTCTACATATACTCCTCTTTTTTGGTTATTGTTCTCTTTTAATCAGACAGGCTCACAGCCCCATGTGCACATCCTCATTTTTTCATTAATAACTGTTGAACTTTTCGCTATGGGAGAAGAATTTCTTTAAAACATAGTATCAGATCAAAAGAGCCCAATGCCATTTATTTAGCTATTTTTTCTGATGTTGAGCAGATAGGATATTTCTACGTTTTTTGCTATACGAAAAACATCCCTTTTCATGGAGATAAGCCAGACTTACTTTGTATCCTCTTGTAAACACTTTGTGTATTAACTCATTGAATCTTTCCAGTGACACAGGGGGTAAACCTCTTTTTACCTCTACAGGTGAGGAAAGCTCAGAGAGGGTAAACAACTTGAGTAACTGAATAGGAAATGCTAGAGTCTATTGAACTTTTGTCCATCCATTTTAGTGTACATGTACCGTTGACCCTTGAACAATGGGGGATGGGGCTTGAAGGTGTGGGGGTGAGGGCCACTGACTTTCCTCCAAGTTAAAAATTCATGTATAACTTAGAGTCCGTCCTCTCCTCCATACACACAGGTTCCACCTCTGCTAATTCAATGAACCGACAAGAGGGGTGGGTTGGATCTACAAATGAGGAATCCTCAGACAGAAAAAAATCTGTCTTGTTCAAACTCACATTGTTCAAGGGTCAGCTGCATATAATGTATGCATTTATATTTAAGTGTGTGTGCGTGTATAAAATTGTTTTAGGAAAAAGTATGACTCACCACATTCTCACAAAAATTCTTGTGTTGAGGTGGGAAATGAGTTTATAGCCTCGTAATCAAATAACTACTAGTGGCTTTTTTAGGAGGGTTTTGATGTAAGAGGGACTAATTTACTGTGAAAGCATCTCTCAGTAGCAGTTTCTCCAGTGCATTTATATGGACAGACTTCAGATCACCATGAAGGTATCGTCTGGGTTCTAGAGCTGTCTTGCTTCATCAGTTGAGTGAACTGTGTTGTGTTAGACAGCTTTGTTGGAGGGAGCTCTGTTTATATTTTTGGAGCAAGTGGATTTGGTCAAACAAAGCATTTTACCTCCTGACCTGATTCAATTGTGTGGCAAATGTAGTATCAAAAGTTTAGTTGCTGATGCTTTGGAAAAAGTAAAATGTGTAGCTGTTGAGTAAAACTAACACTGAAATCCCTTTCTAGTCCTGGGTCCTTTGATAGGGTTCTTTGGTTACTCCTCGTCCATACAATGTTGATTAGAAAGAAGGTCTCCAGGACAAAGGAGACTTACTTCCTTTTCACGAAAAAAAAAACAAAAAAACAATTTCTCTGGGAATTCCACCCCCTATCATGTACCCCAGAACAGACTGTGGCATAAGTGCCCATTTCTATAAACTCCTACTTGACCATACCTCCCGTGCTGCTGGCATAAAGGAAAAGAATGGTTATTCCCATAGTAATTCCCATTACTGTGGGAATAACCTGAGAGATGGAAAGGCTCTTATGCTTTCATAGGCTCATCAAATCCTTTCTAGCATGAGGACAGGCAAAGAATTGTGTGCATCCTGGTACATTTTGAACGCCTGTATAGAAGTGGGGAGAGATGTGAATAACCCAGTTGTATAAATGTGGGTCTCAAATATGGCAGTCCAAGGGCTTCACCCTGGGTGGTGAGTTAGGGGGAGGGGCAGAGAACAGAAGGGTCCTGAGACAGTCCCTGGCTTCCTTATTTGGCCCAGGAAAGAGACTATGTGTCTGTCATTAAAAACACAGCACAGCAAAAAAAGAAAGACTTTTGAATCTAATGTGAGGATTTCATAATCATTCCTTTTTTTTTCTTGCTAATGTTTGCTTTTACATAATAACAAATCTGTTTATGTCTGCAAAAGATTAGCAGTGGACCCTGCTTCTGGAGCAAAACTCAGACCAGGATTTACTAAATCTCCTAAAAAAGATTAACTCGTCGAGGCCAGGTAAGAATAAGAAATAATCTCTAATCCAGGTGTTGTGGTCATCTAACATGTAGATACAACTAATTAGCCTTTAGGAGAATAAATCCTTAATAGGCAAACCAAAGAGAAGTTTGGGCACACCCTGGAATGGGTTAATAAAATATCTCCTCTTGAAATTTACTCTTTTGTTAAGTGACATTGTTCTTGATTATTGATTTAATAGCAAAAGGGAATGATGCCTCATTTTGACCTAGAAGGCTTCTGCCCTGTTCCCTTTTCCAAACATCCCACCAGAAAAGGACAGTTCCCTGAGACTGACACTGAATAGGAGTGCTATGAAATTGGAAACTATTTTACATTGTGAATTGTTTAGAACAATTAAAACTTTAATGAGGCCTAGATTATTTTCTCATGTGGAAACAATGGCATTCTAAAGTAAATGCCTGCACTTCTTGCTTTCAGACTGGCTCCCTGCAGCTCCTCAGCCGGGGTGACCATCTACCCAGGAATGCCACCTAAGGAGGAACAGCAGACATCTGTTTATAGACCTCTTCAGACATCACGTACAAGTAAAAACTAGCCTCAAATTCTCCTGTATACACCCTACAAAAATTTTAAAACAAAATCATTAAAGAACACCTCCATATGAATAATGCTTGACTTAAAAATTCACTTGAGTTTTTTTAATTTGGGTATTTAATAGGCTTTTAGACAAAATGCTTTGATATTAGAGCTTTGTAGTGAAAGTCTTTGGAGGACCAGCATTATTTACTTATGAGGAAATTAATTTTTTTAGCTTCATTTTTTATGTTAGCTGTGAAATCTCAGCTTTAACATTTGCCTCTAATAAATATTAGTAATTGCTAATTAGTAACTACTCCTGTTTTAGATGTAGGATTGCCTCTATGCCATGGGCATGTATACACGCGCAGTAGACCATGTAGAACTGCCTCACAGACACCAGTGTACAGAGATTTGGGGGAACACGGCAGTGTGCAGTGGAGGGAACAGGATAGAGCAAACTCTCCACCCTTGGAAGGTTATTTACTCGTCTTGGCCAAGTCAAGCTGTTCATTCCTCCATTGCTAGGTTCACAGAGCACTGCTGGGAGGTGGTGTGTCAACTATTCCTTTTCTTTGCCATTTTAATAGGTAATAAGCCCTTTGTAGAGTCATTGATACTTAACTCAATCTAAGAATTTTTATTTTTTTCTTAAACTCAGATAATTTCAATTAGGAATTAAGCCATTTTTTCCCCACCTAAATGTAAGTAGAATTCCAAGTTCCTCCACTTGTGGTGTAGCAACACAACATCTGAAACTTGCATGACCTATATGGGGACCACACACTGTTCTGTGCTCAGGTAAATGAGGTATGCATTCTGTATCCAACTGAAGACAACTAAGCATGTTCAACTATTTGTGGAAGATGAATGGCTCTTGGGAGATTTCAGCTGAGGTGAACCTTGCTCCTGCCCCGGCCTGTCCTTTCCTTTGGAAGACATTTGCCCTTGAAGAGGTGAGAGGGGTGTGGGAATTGACTTAGACATCACAGAGCTTGGCTTTTTACTGATGAGGTTTGCTGTGGCCCCTTCTCTCATTTTCTTCCCCAGGTACTTCGCCTGCAAAGCCCGAACTCTTTATGGTCATCAGCATCACAGTTCAGGCCTGTCTCACATTTGGCAAACAAGCTTCTTTGATGGGCAAGAGAACTCAAGCATCCCTTTCCCTGCTGCCCCTCCTCCCTGTATGCAGGTAAGACCAACACGTGCCCTGAACCTGGTGGGCAGAATACTTTCTGACGAGACTGCAGTAAGGAATAAGCAAATATCTAATTTATATGAAAAATGGTAGATTCCATTATAAAATGAAATGACAGTAGCCTCAACTGCTCTAGTATTCTGACCTACACATCAGAAATCATTAAAGAACTAAGAACCTACTGTATACAGTAAGTTCTTAGCACTGTCAATTTAACTGTAGCAATGTATGTATCAAAAAATAAGATAGCTTCCAATAGATGCTGAACACAGGTCAGAATAGTAGTTTCTGTGGGGGAATTAATGACCAGGAGGGGGCATGAGGGAGCTGGAAATGTTTTATATCTCTATCTGATGATTAGGTGGTGTCGAATGGAAGAATTAACCAAGCCATATGCAGAATTTGTAGTTTATTATATGTAAGATATATCTTCATATAGAAAGCCTCTAAACACAAAAGACAAAAGCTTTAAAAAAAAAAAAAGGTTAGGTTTTATATTTTTAAAACTCATTAGATACCAAATTCAAAAGATTATAGTTACATTGCAAAATATTTTTTGAATAAAAACTAATATTGACTTAAATGCATTTATTTATTGATTAAAAATAATACTTAAGAACTTAAAGCAGAGTAGTATTTTAAGCCAGACAGAGCAAAGAAAATTCTTGTTTAATATATATATTTTTAAATTCCAGTAATATTTTTCTTAAATTCCTGTTAAAAATATAATCAATATTAAAGTCAGCAAAATGCTTTTCTTGACTGACGCCTGGATTATTTTACCACTTAACCTGGCTACACAGTGTTTTTTTTTTTTTTTTTTTTTTTTTTTCTGTCAGCTGTAACTGACAACCAGTTTAGTCTTTAAGATAAATGAAATAAGTGATAACTCACATTGTAGCATCTTGTGGAAAATATTCAAACTACATTTAAAATGCTTTTTTAAAATGGAGACGTCTATTATTCCACAAGGAATTGTTTCTGTAAAACTACAGGTTGGCTATGACAATAGTAACTAAACTACATCCAACCCTGAAGGTAGAAAAATCCCTGAAAAGAAATACACAGCCTAGTTATAAGATGCAATATAAAGGTTATTTTCTTATCTTAAAAATTGTCCCCTTTTTGGAGAAATCCAGACTTTTCCATGATTCCTTACTAGGCAGTGCCACATAAAGTTATTTAGTTAACATTATTATGATCATGGCTTACGATTAAATTCAATATGACAAACACCTAAATATAGCAGCCCTCATTTGGATGTCGGTTATGACAATATGTGTTGCAGAATACTTGCTTATTACATTTGGTACAAAGCGTGAACACTCAGGACAGATTGGCACAATACATGCAGTTCAAGAACTTTATCTCAAAGGCAGTCATTACTGAATAAGCCATAGTCCAGTCCTGTTTTCCATGTCTTTCTTTGTATTATAACTGATGCTAAAATGCTTCTTAAGAACATCTTCCAGAATACGTATGCCTTACAAAGCAGTCATCTGAATGCATGATGGAAATGAGGCAGGATAGCCGGACCAGTGCCAGCTGAGAACACATGAGGGATGGGAGGCAGGGCGAGCTGGCCCAGGCTCATAGTGCTCATGGCTAGTGAGGGGTCTTGTTGCTGCTGCCCCAGGCAGCTTAACCTATGGGGCAGAGACTCCCCAGGCCCCAGGGTGAGAGTGCTATTCCCAAAAGCATTTTGGGAAGCAGGGGGCAGCTGCCAGAAGCCCAACAGAGGGGAAATGTCCAAAGAGGCAGGTATTGTTAGGTTCACAGCATCTGCAGGGAGCTCCTTGGGCAGGTTTATTTTACCAGCACTTCCCTTAACCAGGTCAAAACCTGGGCTGAGCTTGTGAGGTGACTGAGGCTCTTGCAGAGGCAAGTCCTCAAGCAAATTAATATTGCAAAATCCTTTAGTTTCCGTTTTGAGGGGCAGGCTTGCAAGTGGGGGGTATGAGGTAGAACCGGTGTTGTACTTGTGATTCTGGAGAGCTGAAGGAGGGGAGTTAGGAGGTGCTACAGGGTGCATGGGGGGAAGGGGCTCTGGCAGCGGCTGTATGGGTTGAGGGGGTTGCTCTGCAGGATTGAGGGGGTGGACATGTACCTCAGCTGGCAAGCTACTTGCAAGCCCATTCTGTACGGGCGCTCCTAACGGGAAAGGAGACAGTGTGGTGGCAGCCTTCAGCTGGAACTGGGGAGAGATGGCATGTAAGGTGCTCAGAAGGTCTCCAGGCTGCAGACTCTCTTTCATCAGCTCCTGCGAGTGCGTCTTCTTGGTATGTCGGGTGAGGTGGTCTTTGCGCCCAAATCTCTGGGCACAAAACTGGCACAGGAAGTCCTTGCAGCCTGTGTGGACCACCAGGTGGCGCCGCACGTCTTTCCGGGTGTAGAAGCATCTCTCGCAGTGGTCGCACTGGTGCTTCTTTTCCTTGGTTCCACTAGGGGGCTTTTCCTCTGCGTGGGCCTTGAGGTGGTTGAGCAGCACCTCTGTGCTCCCTAATTCCAGGGCGCAGACCCCGCAGGTGAGGTCGCCGCTGCTGGCCGCGTGCAGGGCCAGGTGCCTCTTGTAGCCCAGCATGGTGTTGTACTTCTTTCCACACTCCTCGCACCCAAAGGCCATTTTGTTGGGGTCATGGGTTTGGAGGTGGTTCTTCAGGTGGTCTTTCCGGTTGAAGGTCTTCTCACAGTGCGCACACTGGTGAGATTTCTGGGGTGAATGGGTCGCCATGTGCCTATGAGCAGAAGGAAAAAATTCACAATAGACACTGTTTTCTAAGAGCTGGAGGAAGGTGTAGAAACAATATTCAAATGTTAATAGTTTTCGATACGTGGTGGCAGAAGAGATCGTTTTCATTTCCAAAATACTTTTCTATATTTTCCAGATACTACGAACACATAAAACCTTATAATGAAAAAAGCAGGCACTACTAAAGGCGTAATGTGATTGTCACACCTGCAAAGAATACTCTGAGAACACACTTTCCTCTATGTACAGATAGATTGCTAAACAAATACAAGAAATAAAAGCTTGTGTGATCATGAAAAATAGTTTTTCAGAAAGGTTTAAATGGCTATACCCTATGCTTTTTAGAAATTTCTGGATTTCTAGAAGTGACTTAATTTGCTTTCTACACAAGAACCCTAGTTTTAGGTTATTATTCTTATGTATGATTCCAGCTTTATCTTGACAGAGAAAAAGTTCAGAAGATACTGGAAAGGCTATTCTTAACCTCAGAAGTAGTGTCTAATTGGACCCGGAATGCCAACCCACCACCTATGCTGTGAACCTTCCACAAAATCTTTCCATTAAGTCTTGGTTCGCTCATTGAATAATTTGCTGTCAGCTGTCATCTCAGGTATGTACAGCCCCATCTCCCTCTCAGACACCTTCACCCTCCTTCCTGAAAGTCAATGGTCGTTTCATAAGCAGAATTCAAAAGGACATTTTCCAGAAGGACTCAGCAGTGACTCCTAACAACAGTTATAAGCTTTTAGCTGGGCTTCAGGACACTGTCGTCCTAGTCAATCTGAAATTTCTAAATAGCTATTTCACATTGATCTTCAAAAAGTACAAATCAGTCTGGGAAAACCATCTCCATGCCATTTCTATCATAATTATAATGAATTCCTAAAATCTAAGCCATTGTTTTTAAAAAACTCAACAAATGTCATATTAAACACCAAGTACTACATATCAGTATTTCTTACAAAATAACATCCTTAATTGCAACTCTGTCTTACAGGCACAACATTGTAAAACCACACATCTAGCCTTTCTCCCTTCCAAAATAAAAACCAAAAAAACACCATGTAGCCTGCTGTGTGGCAGAGGATAGAAAAAGTCAGTTCCAACCCTTCCCTGGAGCACACCAGAGCCTAGCATGTGAAGGGATCCTGTGCCACGGTGGGTTCTGTGAGGCAGGGACCAAGGGTGCTGAGGGTAGGAGCCAATGCACTAGTCCTGGAGAATGAAATGGCGCTGGTGTCACCAAGTTCCAGATGCATTTAAACATATTTGTAAGTTGCAGAAAAGGTTTTCAGAGCCTATCAGAGGGTAAAACAACCAGTATCTACAAGATACTCAGATAGATCATCAGGAATAGATATGAGGGGAACGGGTCTACAAACTTGTCATTTAAACCATTTCCTTTCTTTCTGGTTAGTGCTAGTGAACAGGACCCCAAAGCTGTCCTGGATCATCAATACTTGCCTCTTTGGGGGGGGGGGTATCTGATTAGATTTCACTATCACAGATTAACAGTTTTGGACCTGTTATTTCCTTACCATGCCCCCGGACCACCTTGGAGAAGGGCACAGCTTCCCCAGTATCTGGGCAGTAACATCACTTCCAGCCTTCACCAGCGCCTGTCCCTCGAATTTTTTCCACTCTTTGCCTTGTATCCAATTCTTTCCCTTTTCATTCATCCCTTACTTATTAATGCAACAGTCTAAATTTAGAACATTATCATTTTATTCTTGAAATTACTTTTAACAACTTGTTTCCTTCTCTCAACTTCCCTCAGCTTGCTTCACAAGCTACAAAGTCAGTTTCATTCTGTTCTACAGTCAACACCAAATACCACTCCCTTGGGTGTCACCTGGATGGTGTCAATGATCAAACTCTCGGGGACAACTACTGACATTAAGACTTCCACCCAGGGACTCGTCCACATCATCTTGTCCACCTGTTGCTATCTTCATCTGGCTGCTTTCAGGGGATGCTGTGCTGGGACCCATGCTCTCCTTTTTAGTGAAAAGCAAGTCAGTTATTTTCTCCTTCAACCTCTGCTTATAAAATGGCGCTTATGTTGCGACTGAGAGAAATGGGCTAGGATACTATCCACCCCCCACCTTAAAAAAAAAAAGGGCAAACCGTAAAGCACCTGCCACCTCACCCTTCTGTTCCTTTACTAGGTCACTGCTCGAGCCAGAGGGGCAAGAACTGTCAGGCTGTGTCAGCAAAGGCGGTTCTTGCACAAAGTACACTGCTTCCCTTTTTCTGCCTCACTTCACACCCTTAACTGAACCAGTTGTTTCCCCTGCTCAGAATTACCACCTCCTAAATATTGCTTAAGACATCTTCAGTGTGGTTTACCACAGTAATCCCTCCTAATTCCTGTCATTCCAATAATCTGTTAGCTGCACTGTCTTTCCCAAATATTTATCTCCTATATGTGTTTCGGTTTTTACCCAGTTATAATATCCTCATTGTGGCTTCACTGCAGCAAACGCTGCTTTCAGTTTGGGGAGGATAATTACTGTGTACACAGCAGCAGCCTGTTTGCAAAACAGGAAGCCCTTACAACAAATTGGTGCACACAGTAGGCACTCAGTACTTACATTTACAGCAACTCGAGAATGGTCTATGTGAAGAACATATATGAATTTTAAAACACTTAAAAATAGGCTCATTTTAAAAAGCAACTTATTTTACGTTACATAGAATACTGATATTCTTAAGAAATAGGCGCGTAATTTCTATTTCTTTAAAGTCTTTCAAGTGCCTCCCTCCAGCAGCACTCCACAGCTTAATAATGTGACCATGTTAATACCACTCTTCGGAAAGCCTCTCTTCACCTGTGGGTGCATTTACATGTAAGCAGCCTTAAGACTGACGCTTTCTATTAGAGGCAAACAGCACATTTCCCTTAACCAGGTACCACGAGGAGGGCACCCTGGCGGGAATTCTGCACGGTCCACATACTCAGCACACACAGTGTTCGCTGTCAGTCAGAACACGGCTCTGTTTACTGACTTAAGAGCGTCACTTGTATTTTCCATATTACAAATATCCTTGGATGGCAGAAACGACATCTTATTCATTTCCTTCTTGGAATGAGTACCTAGTAGGCGTTTATAAAATAATCAGACTAAATGTACTTTTTTTTTTTTTTTAAAGTTCTTGTCTGCTGAAACAGTGGCTTTTATCCTGCGGTATATCATGAATACCTTGAAAATCTGATTAGATGCACTTACTCAACATGTATACACCTAACTGATTCCACCTGGTCGGGTGGTTTTAGACCCAACTTGAGAAGCTGCTGGAAAACTGAAGCTAGGAGTGGTTTCCTGCTCTCCATCCTCACTGTGAGGATCTGCACAGCCCTCCACCTTTCACACCTCAAATCAGTCTCCTGGCCTCTTCTCCAGATACTACCAGATACTCTAACATCCTAAGCTCCTCGTGTTTTCCAGCACTGAGACCCATGAGCAGAAAACCAGCCCTTCGGGACCACGGACACGGCCTGTCAGCAGCTGCTCCGTTTCGCCTACACCGAGCGCCCACCCCGTCCCTCTGAACACGTGCACGTCAATGCTATGGCTGTCCCGGAACCCCCTCTTACCACCCCCTAGTCATTCTATGTCCCAGCTGAAGACTGTACCCCCCTGAGAGGCCTTCCCGGGAATCACTCCCTCCCCGCAAGGCTCTGTCACGGCCCTGAGCTGCATTTTGTGTGCGCATGACTGTCTCCTGGCCAGGGCTCTTTCCAGCATTCTGTTCTCAGGCCGGGCAGACTGTAGGCGGACAGGGATTATGTGCTGAAGGGAGCGAACTGACACATACAGCAAGACTGTCCCCACACCACAGTCATCACTGGAGATACAGCTTTAAAGGCTAAAAGGCACCCACACGCTGCATCTCTTTGCCCTCACAGTGTCTGTGCTGAGGGCTTGCAAAGCCATTTCAAGGTATGTGTGAAAGTACATAACCTTTTCTAAAGCCTCTCACCTCATTAATTTATATCTGGAAATGAAGGCTTTGCCACAGTCTGGCTGCAAGCACTTGAAAGGTCGCTCCCTGGAGTGGGAATAATTGTGGATAGTGAACTTCTCCAGGGTGAGGAACGTCTTGCCACATAATTGGCAGGGGTAGGTGGCCATGGGCTTTGCTTCTCACACTTTCCTTTTCAGATGCGCTGACCAAGAGCTGTGCCATTTAAGCACAAATGCAAGGATGGTGCTGAGCGCATCAGCAGAGCCAGGGCAGCTTAACTCCAGGGGAGAGGCAGCGTCGTGGTTCTGGGCCTGCTTCTACACACACACGGGCCTCTCAGTGACCACTAGCTCGGCTTCCTGCTTTCCCACATCCCAATTTCTATGCAGTCTCAAGCTGAGAGAAGAAAGTCTGAGGCACAGATGAGATTCCAGGAACAGAAAGGTAATCTGCATCACTAGAGCTGGGACATGTCCCGGGTCACCAGACTGTCTGTGGAGAGAAGAGGAACAGTTTTCTTGCATTAGCCATGGGAAAACAATGCCTTTCCTCCCCCACCAGTTCAGAATCCACACGTTTCTTTAAGTGACTCTAAGGCTGCACAGTTCTCCAGCTTTCCCATGTGCTTTTTAAGAGGCCCTCCTGCATACGAATCCACCTGTCTGCATCTCTACTGAATGGAGAGGGGTCGCACACCCAGCATCTCAATGGTGGCGCGCACACTGTCCTTTGTGATAGACACAGCTATTTCCATAACTCGGGATTTCTACTTTAAGCCACAATTTCAGGTCAGCGTGAGGCTAGGTCAACTGATTCAAAAAAGAACCCCCCCCCCCACCCCCGTGCATTCGAGTGTCTTATTGGTACAGAAACAAAAACCACCCTGCTTATTCAAACCACAGGCTATTCCCCTACACTCACATTAGCACAACAGAAGTTGTTTATTACACCTGTTTCAACTTCCAGGGGATGAGAAGAAATAATCTGTATATGCTAAGTGAATTTGTTTGTAAAGTTACCCAGCAGAAGGACAGACATAAACAAACCGTGAGTAAAGCTACTTTACTTCACTGACGTGCCCCTGCAGGGACAGAAAATATTCCCACGGAAATAAAACCGAGGGCTCAGGAGAGAAGGCTCGGCTGCGGTAGGTGAGCAGGCACCATCCTCCATGAGCTATTCTGCTAATCGCTTCCCCTTTCATTTCTGGGGACACTTCCTCATTCCCCAGCCACACCCTGGAGAGCCAACCCAACTACCTGTGGGTATGCCACTTCTCGGGGGTGGCCTGCTGCCTCCTCTGCCTGTAGCTATTCTCAAACCCACATTATTAGACTCTGCCACCCCAAACGAAGTCACCCCAGGCCAGGCTCTTGTCTTCCCACTGGGGAGGCCATATTTTGAGGAGCCTTCCCAGGCTCAGGCTGCATCACAAGCAAACAGTGCGCCCCTGGCTACCTAGAACACTGTGCAGTTCTAGGGAGTGATTCTCAGGGGCTGGATGCTAACCTTTTGAGTGCCAGTACTTAAACAAAAAAGTTAAGAGTAAGAAGTCTTGCATTAAACACTCTTAAGGAGCTTTTGTCCACAGGCCAGCCTTTTCTGAACTTGGTCAAAGAAGTAGGACAAGAATGGTAAACGGACCAACCTATAGTAGCACACGGACGGCTGAGGCATCAGCTACCTGCAGTCATTCATTCACTGCCAGGCCCGTACACTGGTTCTTCATTGTTTAAGGTTAATTTTCATTTACCTTTGCAGTTACATTCAGATCAGATACCAGATTCTAGCTAGATGAACTTTTACTATAATAGTTCAAGCATCTTTAAAAAATACCAGCCCATAGCACATATGCACAGCAAAACTACATTCCCTTTCTAGTGAGCAAAAATCGCAGTGAATTTCTCTCATTCCTCATCAACTAAGCTCAGATGGTTTTAGTGTCTGGTCAGAGTTCATAAAGGAGCTGGCACCCTGCAGACACCCCTTGCTGTCCTGCCCCACCTGCTTGGAACCTTCAAAGCTGACGTGCGCACTTTGACCTGAAGAGCTAGCCCTGGTCCAAAGCCAGGGCACAGGCCTTCGCAGCCAGCAGCCTGGCACCAGACCCGCTTTCTGATGGCAGCACGCTCATGCCTGATTCCGCCGTGACCACATGTGACTTGACCTGAAGTCCCTTCCCGGCTCTGGCCAAGCCCATCCCCCCACCTCCCCCAACTCCTACTTCTGAGATTCTAGCTCAAGCCAGAGGCCCTACCTTGAGGCATCCCCAACCACGATCCTGTCCACAAAAAAAAAATAACACCTTCGAGGAATTCTACCCTGCGTGGCCGAGTTTTTGCTGCCAGGTCTCATGATGCGTCCTATTTCTCATCCAGCCTAAGTCTGGCGGTAATAACCACCCGGCTATAAAAGGAATAGAATTTATCATTGTATTCCATTCACTTGAAATTACTCTAAGTCTATTTAAAAAGATTAAAATGGTATATACAACATACAGTTTGAAATTTACCTTTCCTTTATTCCCTGAGCCCTCATCACTGAGGAGAGGGAGCTGCTCCTGTGGTGAGGCTTTTGTATTTCTCCCACCTACACAAACCCCCAACTTAATACATCTTTTTCAACCCCCAGTAAATTCATTCTCTCAACTCTTATTTTATGAGACATGACCGGTCTGTGGCTGCTGTGTGGGACCCACAGACTCAGTTTCACAGTCGAGAGGAAGGCATGGCCATGTTTTCCCTCAGACACAACCTTGTCGCTGATTCACCATCAGGTGCTGCCCTGAGCGTGGGAGGGATATGCAGATCCCATCACTGGTGCTATGAATACATGGAAAGATTCCCCAGTTCAAATTCCAGCTTACCCATTTGTTACCTTTGTCCTGAGTTTGTTTTCTCATTTGCGATACCCACCTGATACAACTACCCCAAACAAGAGGGATCTGAAAGCTAATCTAAAAACACACCATACAAATAAATAGTATTGCCGAGACACTAGGGTTACAGCAGACGCCATCAGCTACACATTAGCGCACGGGTCTAACTACTTAGCCACAGATGTAATGGAAAAAAGACACGCGTTCTTTCCCTACCTATAATTCACCATCCATTATTCATAGTGTGAGGAACCGGTTGTCTGGACAATACACACGCTCACACACACAGAAAGGCCATATGAGGTTGCAAGGAAAAAGCCTGCCTTCTTTGTTTCTCGACAGATAGCAACCTTGACTGATTGCTGACTAACACACCAAGAACACAAAGGAAAAAGATTCACTGACTTTTAAAAATGACTGTCCTTTCACATTGAAAAATACACTTTCAACCTCTTCCCTAGATTCCAAAGTCCAGCAGTCATGGACAGCATTACCTACATTTCCTCTGGGCTGCAAAGATGGTGGGTGTTATCAGGGAGATCAGACATGGTCATATTTTATTTACATGTGAGACACACCTCCAACTTCTTGTTTCTCATCCAACTTTCAAAAACTGAAAAAAGGTGTCTTTTAAGTATTTTTATACTAATTGCATGAGTGTCTTTTCCCAAGACTTTTATCTTTTGAGATTTAGGTCTTTATATTAATCCAAATGCTAAAGTATACACAACTGATCCTCAAATGCTGACTTGAATTATATGATAGTAAACACTCCTTAATTTCTTCATGAAGTCTTTTTTTATGATGAACTCAAAGTCATGTTATAAAATTTCCTGCACCATAACTTTGCATTTCATTCATATAGACCTAAAATATAAATATTTGTACTATTTTCATGATAGAATCACAAACTCCTATAAAATCATCTTTCCAAGAGACTATAAATTCATTGTGGCTGAGGATCAAAGCTCAGCTACTTTTTAAAAATAAACCATGTGGATAATACAACATCTCCCATCGTCATGGACTTGACCAGAACTGGCTGTTGTTGCTGCTGATTCCAATCTTTACTTGAAACCTGATGCGCTTTCTGACCACATCCTTAAAACAGACTTGTGATTAACTTTCTATTATCTGGCAAACCACCAACAATCCTCACAGAGAACTGACAAAGGGTCCCGATGATAATCAGTCTGTTCTGTGACTTGACGTACAGATTGTATTTGAGTCTTAAATACGCTAATATTTCAACACCTGTCACCCTGGAAAGATAGTAAGTCTTCCCCCAAAACATCTCAGGACATAATTTTCAATCCCCTTGATTCTAAAAATACTGAGTGAGGGATACAGATCTGCCAGTATGCCAAAGAAGGCTGTGCCATCTGCTTCATTCTGATCATGCTGATTATTTTGGGGATGAGAGAGGATCAGATTGGAATAAGAACATGTATATATGGCAACAGCCAGGAAGGCCTGTGTTCCCTGAGGGCTGGTGGTATAGGACGGCAGAGGGAGAGGTCAGAGCACAAGTGTAGCTCTAGGATGTCCCCAATGTGCGTAACACAATCATCTAATGGGGGACAAATGTTTTACAGCATTCTCAAAATAAACTATGACTTCTGGCTTCTATTTCCATTGTCCCTGGTGACACAATGCAAGGCCCACTTCTAAAAGGAAACTGAACTGCCATTTTTAGTCTTCCAGCAGGGACACACTTTAAGTTCTTTTACTCCATTCATCATCATTCCTTATGGATAAGAGAGTCCTACTCCAAATGTTTCTCTTTCATTCTCCCAAAATCTGGGATTGTTTTTATATAAATGTGTTAAGGTCAATTCTAAAAGCATCACTAACTAGGTTCTGTTTCTTATACTAAAAAATATGAAACAGCTAATTGTGGAAGGAGGGTGGGAATTCATTACTTCCTTGGGTCTAAGAGGCTCCTAGGGAGGGTACTTCCCTCAGTATCAGTTCTTTGAAGGACTTTGGTAGCCACTTTTAGCATTAAAAAAACAAACCAAAAAAAAAAAAAAAACTTCAGAAAAAGAAAGAAGATGGTAAAAGAAAGAAGATGCCCAGAAACTTCTAGGCAGGTATTACTGCTTATTTTTATTTTGTGCAAGTATTGTAAAGTTTGTTAGGTGTTGTATCTGAACTAAGATAATACTTGAAGAGCTGGGGCTCATTATCCATCTACCAAGCGAAAAAAGGGGCTCTAGGGCCTTGGTGAGAACCAGCCCCCAGAACTATGGCTGGGGTTTCAGCCTTCAGTGAGAGCAGGGAGCCCTGTGAATTTCTCTGAAATTCTGTGTAAAATCAAGAGGCATGTGCAGTGAATTATTATAGGAAGAGGGATCATAGTTTTCTTCAGATTTTCTGAAAGGTCTTCAATTCTAACAGGCTAAAGAACATGTACCTCAATAAAAAAAAAAAAAAGAGCATCCCTCTTGGTGCTATCAATTCACTTCAATACTTCACAAAGCACTGGTATTTCCTAACCCATGGCTCATACATTTTGTACCTCAATCACTACATTTTAGCAAATTAAAGTTGTTTTTTTTTAAAAGAGGTTCGGTAATAATGTTCTGTATTCAAGCAGTACAAATTTCATTTCAAATATGGGTACGTGATAATTTAACAGATCTTATATCATGTAAGACAGGCCTACGTTTCATCTAGAGGGCGGGCTGCCCTCAGAATCACAAGAGCTCACTGGTCAGCATCGTTAGCTATCTTTTATTAAAGTGTGTGTACTAGCACACACCATGAAACATC